AACGCTAGGAAAATGAAATATTTAAAAAATAAATTTATGGAATCAATTTCAATAGTCGTGGACAAAGTATAGTATTCTACTCGCATATAATTATTATATGCTCATATAATAATATACTATTATTTTCCGTTTTAATAAAAAAATTAAAAATCAAAAAATGGGGGTAAACTTCCCACACTCATTTTCTTCATATTTTCGGTTATCACGTTGCCTAGTAGCATAATAAATATCAATTATTACAATAAATAATTGAATAACAACTTACTTTTAAAACCAGTAAAAAGGCTGAAATTATAACATTAACACGTCCAAACACGTACCGGCTACACAAACCAAGCTAAATATCGTAAAATAGTAACTTTTGTCATAAATTTTATATTATAATATACTGCTCTTTGGAGCTGCATTAAGCAATGAAAGAGCCGCATGCGGTTCATTGAGCCGTATTTGCCCACCGTTGTTACAGTTGTTTTTTTAATTTGATCAATTTTCCAACAACAAATTTTACAGGTTATTTAATCAAAAAAATGATTCGAACTGTTCCAATAAGATTTCCTTCAGTAAAAGGTTACGAAAACCGCGTTAATGACATCATTTATTGCCCGCCGATTCGAAATGGATTAAATTCGGTTGTGATTTTTTTTGGTGGTGACATGCAGGTAAACGGTTAATTTTATTAACAATTAATTTTCTTATATTAATTCTTTTAGGACTTGTATGAAAATATGGAATCCCACCGAGATGCTAAAAACTACTTAAAATACAACCTCGAAGACTGTACGCTCCGATTAAGAAACAAATTCCCCGATTCTCACCTAATAAACGTCCGGCCATCTAAAATTATCTTAAAAACGTTTAGTTGTTACTCAAATTTTGTTCCTACAGGAGATTACGGATCTCCCGAACACGTTTCAATGAATTTCGCATTAAAACATTTGCAAAAATTGCTTCAAAACATCTCCGAACGGTTAAATCATATGAAGCGTGAGGAATTTATTGAAATTACACAGAAATATCGATCGGATTTATTAAAAGACACGGAAGAGAGAGAGCGAATTTTGTTAAATTATGATCAAAATCTATTCGGAAAGAATTTACAATTTGAAAATTTCGATTTAAAAGCTATCGGATTTAGTAAAGGTTGTGTCGTTTTAAATCAATTTTTGTATGAATTTCATTATTTAAAAACCGAAAATAATGATTTAAATCTAAACGAATTTGTGCATCGGTTTAAAGATTTATATTGGTTAGATGGTGGACATTCCGGTGGAAAAAATATTTGGATTACTTCAAAACCAATTTTAGACACCCTTTCCAATTTAGGCAAGAATTATTTTATTAATTTTATTATTCATTTTAAAGTTTGAGGTTATACAGTAAAGTGCCGATTATCTGTGAACCATTTAATATGTTACAAATTTGTTCATTTTAAGCAGAAAAGTTACTAAAAACATGTGCTCAATTCTCAAAGGTAACTGAAATACAGCCAGTTAATGCATAAATTGATACCCACGGCTGTTGTGAAACAGTGATTTGTCAATGTTTGACGTTTAACATTATTTGGTTGACGTGTCGACTAAGCTGTTGATAATGCCTCACATATTGACTCATGCAGAATATATTATGCTGATATGGTGCTTTGTTACGGTTTCTGCTCGTCGAGACTATAGGAGACGATTTCCTATCCGAGTGCTACTAGATTCAAGAGCTTTTACTCGAACATTCAACAGATTGCAAGAACCAGTTCTGTTGTTCTGTTCCAAGTATAAGTATTCATTCTCAACGTGCAAGTGTGCAAACTCTGAATGAAGTTGAACAAATTCTTCAGTCGGTAGAATGCATTCCATCTACTAGTACAAGAAGACTTTCTGCTCGTCTTGGTGTTCCTCATGTAAAAGTATGGAGAACTCATGGCTTGTATCCATTCCATGTTCAACCAGTACAACACCTTGAACTAACAGACTTTGCCAGGAGATTGGAATTTTGTGGATGGGTAATATCTAACACCCGCTTGGTTCCTGTGATACTTTTTACTGATGAAGCGACTTTCACCCGCAATGGAATCAATAACAGTCGAAATGATCACCGTGGTCTGAGAATAATCCGCATGCCAGTGTTGAAACAAATTTTTAGGTAAAATTCTCTGTGAATCTATAGTGTGGAATGATTCACAATAACTTAATTGGGCCTTTCGTACTACCCGAGCGTTTAACAGCGGACAGATATTTAGAGTTCTTGCGCAATGAGCTTCCAATACTGTTAGAAGATATTTCTTTGGCTACCAGAGCCAATATGTTCTTCCGGTACGATGGGGCACCTGCTCACTACGGCTATCAAGTGACGCAATACCTGAACCAAACCTTTGCGGAACGGTGGATTGTTCGTAGGGGTCCTATCAGTTGGCCAGCAGGGTCACCGGACCTTAATCCGTTAGATTACGGAATGTGGGGATGGTTGAAAAGCGATGTTTATCAAGTAAAAGTAAACACGCGTGATGAGCTAATCACTCGTATTACGGCCAGCGCTGCACGATCAAGGCACGTCGGGATAAATTACGCAGCACAGTGCGTCATATTTTCAAGAGATCAGCCAAGTGCATCGAGTTAGGCGGTGGGATATTCGAACCCTGCCTTTAAAGTCGGAATTTCGATGTTTTATGAATGTACACATTTAAATAAATCAGTTTATGCATTAACTGGCTGTATCTCAGTTACCTTTGAGAATTGAGGACATGTTTTTAGGAACTTCTCTGCTTAAAATGAACAAATCTGTAACATATTAAAGTATGTACTATTGCTCATGAAACACCTTGTATATTTTTTAATTTTAACAACAAATTCTTTTCGTACTCCGTACGAAAACAAAAAAAAAGTAGTCTCGTACGTTCCGCTACGTCTAATTATTCTTTCGAAAAAAATCGATATTATGTATCAAAAAAAAGGCAAACTGAGTGTAAAAACCCCGTTTAAACGTTCCCTGGGCGCCTCCAAAATTAAAACAAATTCGGGGAAACTCAGACGGATGTTTTCATTCTTTCTGTGTAAATTCGTGTTGCGTAGATACAGTACTGTAGCGCGTTGCTGTACTGTAGTAATGGCTCCTAAGCGAAGACGGGTGGTTTTAACAGTGAAAAAAAAATTTTAAATTATTAAAAGACGTCAACATGGTGAAAGTATCACTTTGCTGGCTGATGATTATGGAGTTGCACAACAGACTGTACGCAATTTAATGAAACAGCAGCCCAAATTGGAAACATTCGTTTCTATGTAACAGTGTGTAAACATCAGCTGGCCCTTCACATAGAAAAACAATGAAAGGTACGAGGAGTGAGCAACTGGAAAATGTAATGGTGAAGGTTTTTTCAGCAAACAGCACTAGGAGACCCGATGTCCGATCCGTATGTGTTAGCTAAAGCATAATACTTTGCAGAAAAGTTACAAATCACCGAAAGACTTACACTTTCAACAGATTGCAAAGGCATGGAAGTAGAGAATTACAAATACTACGAGAACAGCTTACTGCTGACGATGTTGGGGCTACAATTTTTTGTGACACCTGCTCCAATATACAATGCTGATGAGACCGGCCTCTATTGGCGTACAATGCCCACTCCAACATTAGCATCTGCTAAAGAAAAAATTGCTCCTGGCTATAAAATTAATATAGATCGGATTACAGTGTAATGTTGCTCAAATGCTACTGGAGAAAATAAACTAAAATTAGCTGTAGTAGGGAAGTCAGATTTTCCTAGAGGTTTAAAGAAATAAAAAAAACTGCCAGTGGAATACTACAAGTGTTGTGCGTACAAAGGTGTCCCTCAAGAAGCAATATTGCTTCTTGATAATGCGCCATCTCATTCGCCAGTTGAAGCATTGTCAGTTAAGAACGGGAGTATCACAGTTTTGGATCTTCCGCCAAATATGACCGCGCTAATTCAACCCATGGATCAAGGCGTAATTGAAACAATGAAGAGGTTGTACAGAAAAAATTTAGTGATAAATCTGGTAGTAAAAGACAACAATACTCCTTTTCACTTTTGGATATCGTATGCTTGGGAAAATGTGAAAGCTACCACAATTGAAAAATGTTTTAACAATATTTTATGCGATGAATCAACTGTGAAGAACATGAAATTGATAATGATGAACCGTTAGATGTATTTCAGTCGTTAAAAAATGTTCAGGGCTTTGAAGAACTGGATGACGAAAATATTCTGAAGTGGGTAAATATTGACTTAAATGTTTTGGACTGTGAACACATAACCGACGATGATCTAGTCGATAGTGTCACTAAACCAATCTCTGAACCGAGTTCACTCCAAGAATGTAGTGACGATGACGTAGAAGATGTCAGTTTAGAACCACAATNTATTTTCGAGATTTTAGACGTAACTTTATTTTTTTAAATGGAAACCATAGTTGGCTATGACCTAAAATAATTTGTTATTTTCTTTTGATAACAAATATATATAGTTTGTGGGGTATATTTCTTATAGTTATTGAATAATTAACAAAAATTTATTTTGTTCTATCTAAAACTAATGTATGTATTTAAAAGTTAATTGTTAAGTGAAATTGGGACACCCTGTACTGTAGTAATGGCTCCTAAGCGAAAACGGGTGGTTTTAACAGTGAAAAAAAAATTGAAATTATTAAAAGACGTGAACATGGTGAAAGTATCAGTTTGCTGGCTGACGATTATAGAGTTGCACAACTTCATGAACGCGGCTTAATGAAACAGCAGCCCAATAAAGCACAATACTTTGCAGAAAAGTTACAAATCACCGAAAGACTTACACTTTCAACAGGTTGGTTGCGATGTTTTAAAGAAAGGCATGGAATTGGAGAATTACAAATCCAAGGAGAACAGCTTAGTGCTGACGAAGTTGGGGCTACAATTTTTTGTGACACCTGCCCAAATATACAATGCTGATGAGACCGGCCTCTATTGGCGTGCAATGTCCACTCGTACATTAGCATCTGCTAAAGAAAAAATTGCTGCTGGCTATAAAATTAGTAAAGATCGAATTACAGAGTAATGTTGCTCAAATGCTATTGGAGAAGATAATGTAAAATTAGCTGTAGTAGGGAAGTCAAAGTCACCAACAGGTTTAAAAGACATAAAAAACTCCCAGTCGAATACTACAACAACTGTTCTGCGTGGATGATACGAGATATTTTTGAAATGTGGTTTAAAAATTTAATAAATTTGTCCCACACGTAAAAAAATATATGAACGGCAAAGGTCTGCCTCAAAAAGCAGTATTGCTAATGCGCCATCTCATTCGCCAGTTGAAGCGTTGTCAGCTAAGAACGGGAGTATCACAGTTTTGTATCTTCCGCCAAATATGACCACCTAATTCAACCCATGGATCAAGGCGTAATTGAAACAATGAAAAGATTGTACAGAAAAAATTTAATGATGAATTTGGTAGCAAAAGACAACAATGCTCCTTTCCAGTTTTGGAAATCAATTACGCTTCGAGATGCTTGATACAACATATCGTATGCCTGGGAAAATGTGAAAGCTACCACAATTGAAAAATGTTTTAACAATATTTTATGCGATGAATCAACTGTGAAGAACATGAAATTGATAGTGATGAACCTTTAGATATGTTTCAGTCGTTAAAAAATGTTCAGGGCTTTGAAGAACTGGATGACGAAAATATTCTGGAGTGGGTAAATATTGACTTAAATGTTTTGGACTGTGAACACATAACCGACGATGATCTAGTCGATAGTGTCACTAAACCAATCTCTGAACCGAGTTCACTCCAAGAATGTAGTGACGATGACGTAGAAGATGTCAGTTTAGAACCACAATTCAAAGTCAGCTGCAAGGAAGCATAGCAGGTGCTGAAATTCGTTTAAATTTTATGGAACAACAAGATGTTACTGACTATACAGGGTAATTCATATTCGACCCCCACCATTGGGATCTCAGAAACTATAAGAGATACAGAAATGGTTAAATTTAGGCAAAGTTGCGTATCTTAGAGCTCATCGTTTTTCAACTAAGTTTTTGGATCTAGCCGTTTTAGTTTTTAAAATATGGCCGAAAAACAGAAAAATTACTTTTTCGTTTTTTGCCTATAACTTCTTTATTTTTCGCTTTTTCGTAAATCTGAAAAAACATTCTTAAGGCAACTTTTTATGAAAAATGTCATGACACAACTAAAAATTTTCTCCGACGTTTCGTTTTCGTGAAACTATCATCAGGTTTATTTTTTCTTATGAACGCCATATTTGACTTTCACACCAAAAAAATAGAATAATTAATTCTGATTTCAATGATATGTCACAAAAAAAACTAATATCTTATTAGGAGGTTGTAATTTGTGCGCTAAGTGTTTCCATAGAAACCAACAAACAATACTTATGAAGGATACTTCGAAAGTACTGATTTAAGATGGCTTTTATAAACGAAGAGAAACGAGACATGACTTTATTATAAATATGACAGAAATACAGTGAGAGCTTCGCAAATGTATTTGGAAATGTATCCGGAGAGACGACAATCGGACAGAACGACGGTTTGGTTGAATATGGAGCTTTTTAGAAGCCACGGAGAAAGTACGGTGATAGAATGAATCAGGAAGTTAAAGAAAACATAATAAATGAGGTATAAATTTAAACTTACAAACTGAAAGAAGAATATTTTCATTTATACAAATCAAACTGCAAACTCAATTAACCCTTTCTCTGTAAACCTGGATATTTCCTATCCGAACTACAACTGTTTAGGCAAATAATTTCTTCATTTCATATAAAAAAATATGTATGCAAAAATAATTTTTTCGATAATTTTATGATTGATTTATCAAGTTGAAGGTTTCGAACATTATCATGAATTGTTTATAAAATTTGTTGAGTGCATTAACAGGATGAAAAAAAAGCGGCCGGACCCGAAAGACCCACCTTTACAGACGGAAGGTGCTAAAAAACCGTTTACAGACGAAAGGTTAAGTACTGTTTTAGATAAGAAATAATAGTTCAAAATCTACGTATGAAATTCCATCAAAATTTGAGGTTCCGCAAATTAGTGTCTGGAGAGAGTTTAAAAGAAATCACTTAAAATGTTATAAAGTACGCGTTTCACAAAAATTTCACCAAGGAGATCCTGCAAAAAGACTAGCGTATTGCAACTGGATTATAAATCAAATCAATATTTCTCCTGAATTTTCAAACAACATAATTTAGACTGACGAAAGTACTTTTACAAATTCTGATGCTGTCAACAGAAACAATGAGCTTAAATGGGATGAAATTCTCCATATTTCTCTAATATAAATAGGATGTATGTAAAAGTAAAAACTTTTTGAGAAATACTAAAATGTTTTAATTCTATTTAAGCAGACATGTTTCGAAACTAATGTTTCATCTTCAATACATAGAATATTATACAATATAATGGAATAAAATTATGTTAGTAGGTGGGGTTCAGGAAATCTCTTTTTAACTTAATTCACAAATAAAATTTAAATTAAATTTAACAAAATCAAAAAATTAAAAATCTTCAATAATAAAGATAAAATCATACGATACTTTCCAAGATTTCCTGAAACAATGAGCATATTTGGAGCATCAACAATCCTATGCAATTCAGGGAAATTAGGCCACAAATTCGTTTTAGATTAAATGTATAGGCAGGAATCTATGGAAATCGAATATTAGGTCCACATTTTTTCCGGGGTAATTTGAATGGAGAAATGTATCTGCAATTTTTGAGAACAACATTTGGGGAATATTTGGAGAATTTACCTATTGCAAACTACTACAGGTATTGGTTCCAACACGACGGAGCCCCTGCTCATAACACTCCAGCAGTGTGTGATTTTCTTGATGCAGATAAGATGACCTGCAAGATCTCCAGATCTAAATGTTTTAGATACATTTTTATGGTGAACTTTGAAGAACAAGGTGTACCAACAAGAACATGACAACATTGAAGACCTCAGAGAGAGTATCATAACTGAATTTAGATCCATAAGAAGAAGAGATGTAGAAAGAGCTGTAGGAAATATTAGTCGACGTACACGTTTATGCATCCAAGAAAATGGCCATCACTTTGAACTTTAAAAATATGCAACTGCTTTAGTTGCATATTTTTTTATTTACAATACTGTTTTTGTTTTGTTATTTAACATTTAAAATTAATTTTTATTTTATTATCATAAATACTTTTCCTGTAGTTTGTGAAGTGTTTTACATTCAACAAAACGTTGTTATTTTAAAAACTAAAACGGCTAGATCCATAAACTTAGTTAAAAATGATGAGCTCTAAGATACGCAACTTTGCCCCCATTTAACCATTTCTGTATCTCTTATGGTTTCTGACAACCCAATGGTGGGGGTCGAATTTGAATTACCCTGTATAGAAATTTTAAAAATTCATACTTACATAACAAATATTAAACAACAAATAATTAACCAGAAAAGAAAACAAGTAAAAATAACCGACTTTTTTTAAAAATAATGAAGTGTTTTGTTATTTGTTTTTATTATTAGTTTATTATCTGTTATTATTATTTAGTTTTATTGTAAAGAAGATTATTTTACACAAATTTATTTCTTTCATTATACAATTCTCTAACCTTGGCTTATAACAAAAATGAAACATTGGTACTTCAATTTTAACACTAATTTTAAAAACGTCAGGTTGTATTATCCGTGGTTTTCGATTATCCGGTTTCTATTTTCCCTCGATTACCACGGTTAATCGGCACTCTACTGTAATTAGTTTTTGACAGATTAACTTTGATATAACTTTAGTCTATTTTTTAATTCAGAGGAGTAAGATGAAAAGTCACGTTTACACAGTGTAATTTTTCAAAGTTATTTTTTGGCGGGAGTTTTAAAACCAGCGAGGATTTTAAGTAAACTGTAGTTACGAATTTAATGACTTATTTGTTTAAACGTAATAAAAACCAGGGCGTACCTTCTTACTTTATCCTACATAAAATGCAACATGTCAATATAATTTGACATTACACTAAAACCTCGATATAACGGATTAATACGGGGAAGGCAGTGTCCGTTATAGCTCACTAAAGATATACAATAATCTAGCGCTGAATAACAAATAAAATTAGATTAATACTAGCACTTGAACTAATACTAGACCAAAAACATTCCGTTTAGCTGTACCTCTCTTAAGACGGCTGGTAGGTGGTAGATAGCCCTAGTTAGCATAAAATATCACTATGTTGCATATTTTTATTGAACTAAAACTAGAATTAATACTAGAACTAGAAACTATCGGGTTTAGGTAAAGTTCTCGGTCTAGTATTAGTTCTAGTTTTACACTAGCACTACCACTAGAACTAACACAAGACCTAGAATTAGAATCAGTCGTGTTTAGCCGTCTTGAGAGACGTGCGGCTAAATCCGAATGTTTCTAGTTCTCGGTCTAGTATTAGTTCTAATTTTACACTAGCACTATCACTAGAAATAACACAAGACCTAGAAGTAGAATCATTCGGGTTTAGCCGTCTTGAGAAACGTGCGGCTAAACCCGAATGTTTCTAGTTCTCGGTCTATTGTTAATTCTAGTGGTAGTGGTAGGAAGCGCTAGTTAGCATAAGATATTATTATATTGTATATTTTTATTGAATTAAAACTAAAACTAACACTAGACCTAGAACTAGAAAGTATCGGGTTTAGCCGTACATCTTCAGACGCACTAACACAAGACCTAGAACTGGAATCATTCGGGTTTAGCCGTCTTATGAGACGTGCGACTAAATCCGAATGTTTCCAGTTCTTGGTCTAGTGTTAATTAGTTTTACACTAGCACTATCACTAGAAATAACACAAGACCTAGAACTAGAATCATTCAGGTTTAGCCGTCTTGAGAGACGTGCGGCTAAACCCGAATGTTTCTAGTTCTAGGTCTAGTGTTAGTTCTAGTTTTATCACTAGAAATAACACAAGACCTAGAACTAGAATCATTCAGGTTTAGCCGTCTTGAGAGACGTGCGGCTAAACCCGAATGTTTCTAGTTCTCGGTCTAGTGTTAGTTCTAGTTTTACATTGGCACTATCACTAGAACTAGCACAAGACCTAGAACTATAATCCGAACCCAACCCGAATGTTTCTAGGCGGTCATCAACATCTAGAATTTTCCTGGTGTAATTTTTGGTTAAAACTGTTAACTAAAACTGACCATAGCAATTCTTTTTTTTTGCGCTTCAATTTGAAAACAGTCCTCCGAATTAAAAAATAGAGTATAGAAAAATAAAGTGAGTTTAGGATCATTTAAACTTTACTTTTTAATTAAATTTAAGCTATTTTTCTTTCAATATCTTTCTCTTTCGTTAAACAGATTTAACCAAATAATATTATTGAATTATTTTTTTTAGAATTAAATGTTCACGTCCATGTATCACCATATCAAATCGAAGATGATCGTAGACCTTGGATTCGAAAAGAAGAAAAAGCTTTCAGTGATTCATTAAAACGTTTAAACGCCTCAATTTTCAGGCGGGTTCATTTCGAGAATGTTCAACCGAGCTTATTTACCCATTTTGAAGTATTAAATGCCTTTAAAGAAGACGAGGACCTAAATTGATACAAAAAATATTATGTAATTGATTATAACAAAACATTGTTTTCTTTGGCTTCATTTTAATGCTTCGCTGAAACTGAAAATGGTTATGAAACGTGGAATAATAATAAAAAATGAGATAAAAAAAGATTGTGTATTTCATTACCATCTGGTTATGAGAAGTGTTTACTGGACTGTTCTAAAAATAACTTGCGTAACCATGGGATATTTCTTATGCAAGATAAATAATTTATGATTAAAAAGAAATAAAATTATTTAAATTAAAAAAAATTTTTTTTAGGTTAACTTCATAATTGACAGTTAAATTAGATTGTAATAAACGCATACCGTTGCTAGGTAACGCTTAAATATAAAATACAAACGTCAAATTTGACGTTTCAATTAAATTTGAAGTATTAAAATGAAGTTTTTTAATTATTAAAATCTTTTTTCTTTGTTGTTAAGTTTGGGTAAGAATAATAAGGAATTTGTTGATGTAAACCAAAACAGTTTTCGCCCACGTGTTCAAAGCTCATCTCAAAACATCACACCGTGTTTTAAAAACTGCACAACACAAATTCCCCGGCTTTTCATCATCATCGAAAACCAGATGCTGCTTTTCCTTTACACTTCTCTTCGTCCCCTTTGCCCTAAAACACCGCGTCCCTACTCTGCTCTATTCTCACCAAAACACCCTTCTTTTAGCCTCTGTTCAGACCCATACAGACCCGGCGAGCCTTTTCTATAGGTAGTATCATGTACAGTCCCTGTCTACAACACAACGAAAACGTTGTCTCTTTAACGTTTTTTGTAGTATTTACTTTCGCTGGTGTGCTTGGTTGTGATTAAACCGACAAGTTTATTTCCAAATCAATCATATTCTGTGCAAATGAAGGAGGTAAACTTTTATTTAATTCTTTTACGCTTTATGTATTCGCTTTAAACGTGAATGAATCCATTGTTGGTGTTGATATCAAGTTTTTTTTTAAACACCACGAGGTTTTAATATAGATTTCAAAATGAAGTGTTTGATTACGTTTTTCCTGGTTTATTTAAACGATCAATATCAACTGTAATTTAATTTTTTTGTTATTGATTAGGTATCGAGGCAAATCAAACATTGAAGTCACTAAACACCATTTAAACATTAATTTCCAGAAAATCTAATTTAAATAGTGACTAAAAGTTATTTCGGAAAACCGCAGGAAATTAACAAGATTATTCATGGTGTTGTGTTAGTGTGTTTATTCGGGTAAAAGCCCTGATAAGAGACTTCCCGTGTGGTATACATATTATTAAAAAGTTCCGTTGTCCTTTCGTTTAACGAGTTTAAATGATTCATTTATTTTGTGGAAAAAAAGTTATTGCATATTCCGTATATTTGAAAAAATTAAAACCACCCAGTGTTTGTTAATTCTTCAAATTTAAAGTTAGTAAGTAATAAGTAATGCTTTAATTTTATGAATCACATAACCTCACTTTTTGAAATGTCATATAATTAACATTTTATTAATATTATATCGAAAAAATAATGATTGGAAATGTTTAAATAATTGCTTTTAATTATTTAATTTTTACTCTTTCATGTTTTATAATACTTTAAAAGTTAAAAATTTATTTTTAAATTTATATGTTCATAACCTAAAAATAACTGTCAAATATTAATCTGTCATTAATCTTATTTAATAGAAAAATTAAATGAGAATTGACTCACCTTAAATAATTCTCTTCATAAGTATTGATAAAAATAAAGAAAACACTTAAATAAGTGCTTAAAATTAAAAAAAAATTCCATTTAATAACTGTATAATTACTTCGAGTTTGACATATTTTTAAAAGAGCCATCTAGTTTAAATCAATAGTATTAGTTTTAAATTTATAACTGTCAAATATTAATCTGTCATTAATCTTATTTAATAAAAAAATAAATGAGAATTAACTCACCTTAAATAATTCTCTTCATAAGTATTGATAAAAATACAGAAAACACTTAAATAAGCACTTAAAATTAAAAAAACGTTCCATTTAATAACATTATAATTACTATTTTTGAAAGAGCCATCTACTATGAATTAATAGTATTAGTTTTAAATTTATTATTTGTTAACCTAAAAATAAGGAATTTAGATTAAATTTTTGTTTACAACAAATTCATTTAAAGCGTACCTGAACTCAAAAGCTTATTTTCACTTCTAAGAAAAAATTGACCCTAATTTTACGGATCTTATTATTCTTATTACACAAATTCCCTGTGGCAGGGTTTCCCAAACAAGAAGTTTCACCTTGAATCAGCGACCAATGAACGCAGGTAAACTCTACCTCTTCTCTCCTACCCACCTTTTTTTTTATTGCTTCTACCTGTTGCGTTCTCCAGTTGAACGCTTACCCACAAAACTTATCGTATAAAACCCAAAAGAATGTTGTAATATTTCGAAAAAATCCAACAAATTCTGCAATATGGTATTAGTAAATTTGGTTTTGCAACAACAGCACTTCATAATGACACAGAAAAACATTTAAAATAAGGTGAAAAATAAGTTTTAATTGTTGTGAAAGTGGCCAAAAGGTTCAAAGTGTAAATTTTAATGAGTTTTTTTTTTTTGTTTTACCTTGTTTAGAGAGAATGCAAACGACGGAGGTGTTCATCATTTTATTCACGTTCTCGACGGCTTTGGGTCAAACTTGTCGTGAATGCCAGATATTTAAAGATGTAAAGAGACTGAAAACTGCTAATTGCTATCGGAGGGAACTTGTTAAAGTGCCCAGGTGTCACACAAGTGGAATCGAGGTGAGTTCATTTCAAGGACTTTTCAAAGTTGTTTTAATACTTAAATTAATTAAATCAATTATTTCATTTCATTACCTAATTAAAATAATAATTATTTAAATTAAAAATTAATAAAAAATTAAATTATAAATATATGCAACCACTCATACAAAATCGATAAAGTAGTTATCTATTTAATTTAATTAATGTTATAATAATGAGTCGCACAATTATAAATATAACTTTATTAACTATTAACTCTACAGATCTTTTACAGCTAGTACACACACGAGTTGCTTGTCATGGAATACTTATGCAACTTGTCGTACATCTTTATGACACCTCCCTTATCAAGTTAATACATCACATAATCGTTAAATTTAGTCGGCTTTCGCATTATTGGGAACGGCTTAGTTTTTAGATTAACAATTGGTTGTTCATTATTTGTAATTAAAGGTACAATAGCATTTTCTACCTTATTACCTAACTTATTATTATCATGATTAGAATCAATGTCCTTTGGAAGAGCAAGAGGAATCATACTCTCTTCTATATTTGTAGGTAGTTGTCTGTCAGTTATTGATTTTCTCAAGACTTGACTACTTCTTCTTAGTACATTCAGTCCTGTGTTTATTAAGTATGATCTTGGACTTTCATGTTTACCTATAATTACGGCTGGCTGCCACTCCTTGTTCTTTCTATAAACTATCTTTCTCCCACATTTAAGTCTTTCAATGGTTTTGTTCCCTTGTCATAGCATTTTTTCATTATATCTTGTTTCTTGCTTAAATCATTTCTTAAGGTCTTGATTTCCTCATTTATTTTTTCTACTATGGGTAACTTTGTTTTAATCTTTCGAGAAAACAAAAGTTCAGCAGGCGATCTCATTAACCCTGTAATTGGTGTGTTTCGATATTCCATCAACGCAGCATCTAGATCAGAGGTCGGCAACCTGTTTGTCCTTAAGGGCGCAATACTAAATTTGAAAATCACCGAGGGCGCATATTTTACAGATAATCAACAGGTATAAATAGGCATTAAAAAAACAGATTTTTTATAACTTTATTTTGTTAGTGTCATACATAATGATACATATAATTCAATGTGAAACTTGGGTGTCCATATTTTCAGCTAATTTCTTATAATTGGGGATATATTTAGAGTTCCCGGTCCTTAAACAATTATCTAAAAGTGAGTCATTAAGCTTTGTTCGGTATTTTGATTTCAAATATTTCATATTTGAGAACAAAGACTCGCAATTGTATGTTGTTGCACAATATGAATAAATTTTTAGCGCACATTTCCTTAAAATAGGATACTTATTTTCATCGACTAAGTTCCAAAACATTTTATCATTACTATGCGCTTTTAAAATAATATCACATTGCAAATTTATTATTTCTAATTCTAGGTCTTCGATATTATGAAGCTCGAAATACACTGAAACTATTTCAAGGATCTTCAGTAACATTGAATGGATTTATAAAAAATCTTAGAACGGGTTCTAATGCTGCAAAATCTTCAAATCTAGAAGAAAACTCTTCTATTAGCTTATCTATAATTTCTAAATATGATGTAGCAGTAAAATTTTCATTATTCAAATTTAAACTCTCAACAGTATATTTTATATTTGGGAAATGTGATAATGATTTTTTCAATAGATGGGATTTCAACAACACTAACTTGCATTTGAATGCATTTACTGCACTAATCATGTCAGCGATATGCTGATTTTTCCCTTGTATTTTTAAATTTAATTCATTCAACTTTGCCGTTATATCTGTCAGAAATCCGAGGTTGATTAGCCAATCCTTATTTTCTAATTGCTCGTAAAATTCGCCTCTTAATGCAATAAATGCCTTTATTTGTGGCAAAAGCATGATAAACCGCTCAAGTATTTTACCTCTGCTCAGCCACCTCACTTCAGTATGTAAAAGAAGATCTGTGAACTGAACGTCCTCATCTTCTAAAAGTAATTTAAACAATCTGTGGTGCATAGCTCCCGATCTTATGGAATTAATAATTTTTGTTACTATCATAAATACGTGTTGAAAACCGATTGTTTTTGCGCATAACATTTTCTGATGTATGAGGCAATGATAAGAAATAAATTTCGAAAAAATAAATAAGGAATCCTGTCTACATAAGGCAATAAATCCTTTTTTCTTACCAGTCATCGCTGGTGGTAGGTAATTTTACATCTGTTATATACTTTTTAAAAGTAGAAAAGATATCTTCTCCTCTGGTGTTTCCCTTTAATGGCAGAACTTTAAGGAATTCTTTTTTTGTTGTAAAATCAGAAAATACCATCTTCACGCAAATTGCTAATTGTGATATATTTGTCACGTCTGTCGATTCATCCATCTGTAGCGAAAAGAAAATACAATTTTCCAGATCATTTGCTAATTCTGCCTCCAAATTCTCCGCAATTACTTCAATTCTTCTAGTAACAGTTCGTGCTGATAATTGCAACGTGTTTATAGCTGAAACTATTTCCTTTTTATTTTTAAATTATTCAAAAAGTGAATCAGCAGCTTCTAACATGGCTTCTTTCACTAATTCTCCATCTGTAAATGTTTTTTTATTCTTAGCTAGCAAATGCGATATTTTATGCCGCGATCGTTGCTGTTTTATGTTGTTGCAGTGGTTTAGTAAAAAAACTTTGCTGGTTAGTTATTATAGATTTTAAAGAAATAATTTTTTTCTTCTAATTTCAGAGTTCATTGAATAGTCACTATCAAAATTGGTATGAATGGTCTTAAAATGTTGTTCAATATTACTTTTCTTGGGAATCGCAACACTATTATTACACAACAAACAAATACACTTCCCTTTGTAATCAACGAAACAATATAGATGTTCCCATTCATCGTTAAAATAATATGTTCTTTTTCTTTTACATTTATCCATGAAGGGTTTTGAAAAAAAAGAATTTTTTCGGATTACTTGGTAGTTTTAAATGCATGGTCTACGCGTGGTCTATTCGAAATACGATCACACACTAACAAAAAATACGTGCGTGTTATTAGATACGCTCAAGGTTAGCAAACTGCTAATCTATCTAGCACAATCCTAAACTCAACTGACTACTTGCTGTATATCGCCGCAGTCCAACGAGGGCGCATTAAAAATCGATCGGGGGCGCCGCGTTGCCTACCCCTGATCTAGATCTTTAGTTTTACGAAGTATGTTCTTAGCTGTCTGAACAACGCGTTCTGCCAAACCATTCGATCTTGGATATCTCGGGCTGCTGGTTTTAAATTCAAAATCATATTCTTTTGCAAATTTTCTACATTCAAAGGACGAGTAGAGCATGTTATCCGACACAACAATGTCCGGCACACCATGAGTTGCAAACACATTCTTAAAAGCATTTATTATGTCCGAACTCTGTTTTGACTTGAGAGGTATAATTTCTAACCACTTTGTCAGATAATCAACCATAACTAAAAATGACTTATTACTTTAATATTTGTTTAATGTCACTAGCCATACCAGGCCAAAATAAGACTTGACGAGCTCTCGCAGTCGTTCTGTTTATACCAAAATGCCCTTCATGTAAAATTTTTAATATTTCCTGTCTTAATGATTTAGGTACGACCACTCTATTCCCACAAAAACCATTCCATTATGCACGTCTATGTCACTTTGTATTTGAAAATATACTTTCATTTCTCCATTATAAGCACTTTTTACTTTTTTATACAGGGTGAGTCAGAAAGAATGGGAAATTCGAATACCGGAGACACTAGACACCAAAATATGACGATTTAACCTAACATGTCTTATACAAATGTCGGTGGTTTTTAATACACAGGGTGTTGAAAGTTAAATTTTTATTTCGAAATTTCTTGATAATTTTGAAGGTTTTTGTACTATTAACATAAAATTTGGTAGTTAGATGTTTTCGAGCATGAGAAATACGAATTTGATATTTGTTTTGTGATTACTCGTAGAGGGCGCTAGATACACACTGTACGTTTGAGATATCAAGTCATGACTATTTTGTCAGTTGAGGTATGGTGAATTAGAACCAGAAATCTGAAGGAGTTTTCAATTCTGCACAAAAAAGGTACTCTTGCTTACATTGTCTAAGTCTACTGGTTTCCAAGTTATCTGCTTTTAATTGTTTCAAAGTAATTTTAAGGTTAACATTTAAAATCAATAACACACAGTAACTATAGCAATTAGTAACGATAATAATCGATAACAATAACAATTAATTAATAACAATAGAATATTGTGACCATTTTCAAAAATCCAGTGGACTTAAATCTGGATTTCTCACTATTAAAAAACTCATTATGTCGTGGCATTTTCAAATTGGTAATAACTTTATTGTTGGTAAAAATGATTATTGCACACGGAAATTAGATCAATGTTGACAATTAACAGGCAATTGTCGAAACATAAGCGGAAAAATAACCCAACTTTGCTTATGTTAAAAAATAAATATTTTAGAAGAAAAAATACATTTAAACATTTAAAAGTAAATAATTCGAAAACCGATAGACTTAGACAATTTCAATAAGAGTACCTTTTTTATGTAAAATTGAATGCTCTTTGTGATTTGCAGCTCTTATTGGTCGTAGCTGTCGAGCCAAAAAACTTATGATTTGATTTATCAAACGAGCAGCGTGTATCTAGCGCCCTCTACGAGCAATAACAAAACAAGTTTCAAATTCGTATTTCTCATGCTCGAAAACATAAAACTACCAAATTTTATGTTAATAGTACAAAAACCTTCAAAATTATCAAGGAATTTCGAAATAATAATTTAACTTTCAACACCCTATGCCTCGAAAACCACTGACATTTGTATAAGAGATGTTACATTAAATAATCATATTTTGGTGTGTAGTATCTCCGGTATTCGGATTTCCCATTCTTTCTGACTCACCCTATATATTTCCTATCTTCTAACTGGAAATTAGTTCTTCCTTGACTGCGCCATGTTATAATAATGAGTCGCACAATTATAAATATAACTTTATTAACTATTAACTCTACAGATCTTTTACAGCTAATACCATTGAGGTCTTATATATAATCTAGAGTGCGTATGCTGTTGTCCCCACCACGCCTGAAATGAAGCCAGAAAGGTCGCCATGTTAGATGTACCAACTTAGCGGGAAATTCGAAATTCTTATATATACTTATGCAAGAATTTACATTATTATAAACTAGAAAGACAGAAAATAATAACCAAAACAAAACACATTAATTTTTTATTGATAAATAATTATTAATTATATAATATTTTAAAAGAACTTAATAATTTTTAACAATNTCAAGAGCATATGGTTTTAAATCAACAACATTTTGACACAATGCACCAAGTCCATGTTTACCTTCAAGAGGTACTTTCAACATATCATTACTGGAATTCCAGCTGATGAAATTTGAACGCAACATTGAGGTCTTATATATAATCTAGAGTGCGTATCCTGTTGTCCCCACCACGCCTAAAATGAAGCCAGAAAGGTCGCCATGTTAGATGTACCAACTTAGCGGGAAATTCGAAATTCTTATATATACTTATGCAAGAATTTACATTATTATAAACTAGAAAGACAGAAAATAATAACCAAAACAAAACACATTAATTTTTTATTGATAAATAATTATTAATTATATAATATTTTAAAAGAACTTAATAGTTTTTAACAATAACTCTTATAATTAACATAAACTAAGAAGAAAATATTTAAAACAATTCTGATTGATCACGTTAACCTTTTGCTTATAAATGATTGTTAGTTTATTTTAAAAGAACTGAACATTTCTTAATAATAAACTTTACTTGAACTTCAATTGTTAATTTCAAATCAAGTAACCAGAAACATTTTATGGACTGTTGGAAATAATCTTCCAACCTAATAAATTATAAAAATATATGTGAAACAAAAAGAATTCGAACACCTTCAACAAAAATAAAATTTTATTAAAAATAACAATATGTTTATAAGAATTGTGAGGTTATAATTGTAGGATTTGTAGGTGTAATAGAGACTTGAAACTATAGCTAAGTTCAGGTCGGTACATCCAACATGTCTGACTTTCTGATTACCCCCACCTCCACCACATACGCACTCTAGATTATACATAAGACCTCAATGGCTAGTACACACACGAGTTGCTTGTCATCAAGGTTTATAAATATATAAAAGGTTGTCTAGGTTCGTACGCAATCAAACTGCGCATTACGTCACATGTGGAAAATAATACCGCCAAGCAATTCAAATTAAACAAATGCATGGAGCGCCACATGGTCATGAGGTTGCGTGCGCAATCCGTGATCGCTTACGTCACGAAACACTCCTGCTCTTGCCCCTCGCCCACTAACTAAAATCAAAGTATTGCAGCATAGGAACTTAGACAACCTTTAATATATAAACCTTGGCTTGTCATGGAATACTTATGCAACTTGTCGTACATCTTTATGACAATTAATTTTTATTTTTTTTGATTTTAGGTATTGGATTTATCGTTTAATAGACTTCGAGATATCCAAAAAGATGATTTTGACTCATACCCAAACATTCAAGTTTTATATTTATCGGATAACTTCATTAGAGAAATCCACAACGAATCGTTTATGGATAAACCTTATTTAGAAGGTTTAGATTTATCCTCAAACGCTTTTTATCACATTCCTATCTCGATTTTTCATCTTTCACAATTAAAGTGGTTACATTTATCAAACATAGCAAATCCTGGAATGGTGGAACAAATCGAGAAAGCCGTCCCGATTACGAGTCCGTTAACTTACTTGGATTTAACCAACAATAAATTAACTCGATTACCCGATTTGGGCGAATTACCGACTTTATTACATTTGAACGTGTCTGAGAACAAAAATTCTGTTTTAGTGAATATTTCAACGTTTGCTGGATTATGTTCATTGAAAGTATTCGCTAATGAGAATTTTAAGGGTAGTTTTAATGATCCTTGTGATTGTTTGTACTTAAATCGGTGGTTGATACAAAGGGGGGTAGTTTTTAGTAATTTTTCTTGTGAAAATAATTTTCGTGGTGATTGTAACGGATCAATACCGCAGGAGTACATTAATAAATATGAGACTTGTAAAAAAACTTTCGAAGAACAACAACAAACGTTGTTTAGGCACCAAGTACTTAAAAATACGGGAATTGGGATTATTGTGGTTATGATTTTGATTACTGCATTATCAACGATTTTATATCGATCAAAAAGGAACAAAAAACGTAAAATGGAGGAGCATGAAGAACAAGCTAAACGAAGAAAATTTAATGATAGGAATTATGATTAATTTTTTTGTTTTTGAATATTATTATTTAAAGTTAGGTTGTAAATATTTGTACATATTTGTATTAAGGTTCATATCACTAAATAATAAAATATCTTATAAATAATATATATCTTTATTGCCCAACAAAGTACCAATTACAGGATCATCTTACACTATACAGAAATACTAACTTACATAAACAAGAATCAATTAAACACTAAGCGAAAAACCTTGTACTTAATCGTCTCTCAGGTTTACAAGCCTTGCACATTCTCTGTAGCGCTATCCTACACGTTGGTTCTAGCGATGTCCTAACTGGGGTTTTCGTCTAACCGAGTTTAAAATTTGCGTAAACTGAGTTAGTAGCAAAAATCTAAAATCTGTAAATTCGCAAACCGCGCACTGGTTTGAATTGAAGTCACTATTGTATTCTTTCACTCACATTATGGTATTGTTTTAGGTAGTATCGGACATTGTTATTAAAATTGTACTGCAGGCAATAAATAAAATACTATCATTCCCGTTTCCAAACATTTTTTCATAAATTTGCGAGCCCCAACGAAAAGTAATCGTGCCAATTTAGAGCTTTTTTGATTGAATGCTGGCTAGAATATGGGGTTTTAAAGAACATGAATAGAGAAAACTTTATTCGGATTTTCGGTCAGCAGGAATTAAAAGTAAAACATCTTTTTAAAATCGCTAATATTTCGATTGTTAAAATTACAATCTTCTTTAGAGCATTTTATTGCTAAAAGATATTACAGAGAAAAAACGTAAAAAATAAAATAAATACTAAATGATTAGTACCAAAAATTTTAATGTAGTACATAATTAGTACATAAATAGCACAAAATTATAGCACTATCAAAATGTTGATATCTTAAAAGGGGGGTGTAACTGAACGTCCAGCTACACCCCCCACTTTGATATTATACAAAAAGTACTAGATGATTAGCACAAACATTTTTAATGTACCAGAAAATTAGCATATAAATAGTACCAAATTATGGCACTATCAAAATGCTGATATCTTGAAAGGGGGGTTGTATATGGAGGGGGGTATAACTGGACGTTCAGCTACACCCCTACTTTAATAATAATTGAATTAAATTGACGTTTTTTGAACTTTTAACGTTTCAAATAATTATTATTAGTCTGGTCAAGATGGCTACCCGTGAATAATGATTATTATTCACCGCTATTATTCACTCCGTGAAAAATGACTACCATTTTGTTTTAGAAAACTTATTCATAAGGTATATATTATAAGGTAGTCGTGGACAATAGTATATTATTATATGAGCATATAATGAGGGCTATTATTCACGAAGGTTAAGTTTATGTCACGAGCGTAGCGAGTGGCATAATTAACCTGAGTTTGATTAAAACCGCTCAGACAAACTGACGTCATATCGGCGCGCAGCGATTGCGCAGTAACAAATCTACGAACACGACTTCAAACGCGCTGACACGAAGTGAGACTACTGATTCACTTTATATTGTGGCTCAGTCCAGTTGATAAGCATGTCACTGTTCTGTGTGCTGACGTACGCTTCAGACGGGACGTGGCGTCTTTCCGTCTACGTAGATAAAATGATATTTAAAACCATTTGCACACTGAATTTAACGCAATTGAATTGATATGGGCCTATGTTAAAAACAAAATGACAAAGAACAACAACACCTATAAAATTAACGACGTTCTCAATTTGTGTCGCGATGCAATTGCTTCAGTTACGCCACAAATCTGGAAAAATTGTGTCAGACACGTTAAGAAAACTGAAGAGAAATACACCTTGTCGATATCGCCATGTACGAGGCAACAGTTAATATGAAAGCGATAACAGTGCTTCATCAGACGAGATTGATGAAACGATGTTTGGTGAAGTATAGAGTAGTATAATCAATACTAAGTGTCAATCACTAAGTGTAAAACACCATTAATGGTACGTATTAGTAAATAAAAGTAGTGAATTAGAAGGAAGACGGCCAAATGAGAAAATATTTGGTCGCTTGGAGGAAAATTTGAAAACATTTGGTTCTTTCAAAAAATCTGGACCAAAAACGTATAATAAAGAAAATGAAGAAATAAATGTTTACTGGCATTTCGAAAAACCACTGTTTTCGAGTTTTACATAAACACCGTGATAGCCAAAAAAGGCTTGAATTTTGTCATTGATACCTAGTTCAGGTTAATGAAAACCCAGGTTTCAGTAGAACAGTTATCTGGACCGATGGAGCACACATTAGCAGTGCGGGCATATTTAATAAAAATAACCAACATATATGGTCAAACGTAAATCCCCAAAACACCATTGAAAGGCGTATTCAAGGCCATTTAGGTTGTAACGTATGGGTAGCATTACTAAATAATCACGTTTTAGCATATCAAATATACGAAGAAAATTTAAACGCCGAACGGTATTTAAACATTTTAACAAATCACATTGAAAGATATGTTGATGGTTTACCATTAAGTGATGTGAAAAAAATATATTTTCGCTGGCGCATAAAGCTAGGCGTATATCTGATTTTTTAAATATTAATTTTGAAAATAACCGGATTGATTTCAGCGGACACCATGGGTGGTCACCAAGATCACCGGATTTGGCACCACTGGATTTTTTCTTTGGGGTTACATAAAAAACCAGTTATATTTAATGGATAATGGAAATATAAGAGAATTAAAGACAAATGAGCGTTGTCTCAATTCTTTTTCCAATATAAATATTTTTAACGCAATAAAGTGTTAGAAAACGTTGTGAAATTTGCATCGAAAAAAGAGGTAGTTAATTTAAGTATTTTTTATAGCATTGTTTTAATAGTCTTTGGGTAATAAAATTATTAGTTTTTGTTGTTAAATTACTATTTTTTGCATTAATAAAACCCCCCTACCGCCCTGTAATTTACAGGAAAGTGTAAATTTAATTTCTTCGACGACACTAGATGGCGGCGTTTGAAAACAATAAGAAATAGACCTGTCGAATCCTATATTTTTGAAATCAGAAAAAATAACGAATTTAATAAGCGAAAAATCAGTGGTTATTTCCATTTAAAAAAATGAAAATTGTCATAATATCTCAAAATCTAAAACCGAAAAATTTTTTTTGACTACGTCATGAAATTCTCTGTAAAAAAGTGTCCATATAATGTCTTAGTTAGAATACTCCACCTATAATAATAACCAAGATAATTGTAATTTTTGCCTCTTGGGGGAAAACAAAAGACGATAGCGCTTTGAGATTTTCGGCATTAGCAGTTTTTCCAAAAACGAGATCATGACATGTAAACTACTTTTTTTCTATCTCTTTTAGTTTCCGAGTTAGCCTATTCGGACATCGAATTTGAACCACCCTGTATACTCTTCCACATCCAGAACGGTTTTTATGACAGTCATAAATAAAAGCCGGGGTAATTTTTGCCCGCTCGAGTACCTGAAAAGGACAATCAGACAATGACAGGGTCGAACTTAATTTTTTTTAAACTAAAATTTAATAAAAAACAAAAGTTTAGTTATAACTAAAATTTAATTATAAAAACTAGTATAAAAGTCAATGTATAAATGCTAAAATTTAATTATTCGTCGTCGCTATCACAGCTATCATAATTTTCAAAGCTGCTTTGATCGGAACTCTCATTTCCGATATCTATAATAAATCGTTGAATATTTGGCGATACATAAGAATTTTCTACGTCCTTTACGTGTTTTACGCAGTTCCTCCATAATTCTGCTGGTATGTTGTCAACCTCTTGACGAATTAAATCCACCAGTTTGGCGCTTAAGGTTGGAGCTGCATTATGTTTTCTAATATTTCGCTTTAAATTGCTCCAGATTAATTCTATGGGGTTCAAAATACAATGGTAAGGTGGTAATCGTAGAACTATATGTCCCGCTTCTTTTGCCATGCCATCAATTACGTATTCGGTTGGAATGTCAACTTCATTGACTTTGGCTAACAGCTTATCTTTGGTAATCTTACCGTTCGGCATGGCAATATTATGTTCTTGCAAGTAGGATAAAACATATTCTTTTTTATGCCTCTTTGCAGGTTTGGGGTGTAATATTCGAGAATGATAACTTGCGTTGTAAAGAACGATTACCAACCTCTGATTTAATAAATTTGTTAATAATTGATTTTTAAACCATGTCTCAAACAACGCAGAATCCATGTCTTAGTGATAATCTGCAGAACAGTCTTTAATATTTTTTGCGGATAATAACAATCCATTTTGCACCCAACCATTCTCTCCCCCTGCATGAAGAATAATAATACGTTTTCCTCTTGAACACGGTATCTTCAATGCACATTTATCACTACCAATGGAAAGGCTCTTTTTTATTACATCATGGGTATCATACCAAGTTTCGTCTAAATAAACAATATTCCACTTCTCTTCCCGATATTTCCTAATTTGTTCAATAAATTCCCACCTCCATTTTTTTAGCCGGGGAGTTTCGGTAATATGAGCTCGTCCGTCCAGTGATTTGTACTTAAATCCAATTGTTTGAAGATATCGCCGAAAATGCTCTTCAGAATAAGGTATTTCTATATGATTAGTTTGAAAATCCATGTTGCAAGTTTACAAATTTTGAGAATGGAAATTGAAACTTCGTACATGCTGTTTAAAATTTATTTTAACGGTACCAGTTTCGGGAAAAACTCAGTTTCCCATCATCAGCCGAAGCTATATATATATAAAAATAGTTAGTAATATTCAGATAAATATAAAACATGAACTTACTGTCAATAAAACTATCTTGGAAATTTTGTTTTTACATACAAATCAACCATTAAAACTTTTTAAAAAACGACAGATGTACACATACCGATTGGTAACTTTAATTTTAGGAGATACACCCAACACGGACGTACGTATAAGTATACGTGTGTGTGTATATTCGGTGTCGTTAAGTGGGGGATAAACAAGCGTAGGGGTAATGCACAAATTGAATCGTTCATAGATTGTTGAGAGGCGAAGTTGGTCGCATCGCTTTGCAGTTAACCCTAGCAAAAAAAAACTAAGATGTTGTTTACTGTAGCGGAAAAGGTACAGATTATAAAATGGTTTTATGGTGGCAATTCTGTAGCCCAAATAATTAATTTGTTTCCTGTGGCCTATGAAAACAGATCAATTCCTAGTCGCGGAACAATTTCAAATATTATTAAAAACTTTGAGCGACATGGATGTGTGTCTCCACAGAAACACAAATTACGAAGGGGTAAAAGAGATGAGTTACGTGATACGATGATATGTGCTGATGTTGAACGCAATAAAAATCAGTCAAGCAGACAAGTTGCGGAGACGTTTGCTATCAGCCATGTTGCCGTCCTAAAAACATTAAAGAAACACGGGTACAGGTCGTACAAGGTACAAAAAAGTCAGGAACTCTGCGAGAACGATAATATTACAAGGGCGGAATTTTGCTTTACTATGATGGAAATGGCCAACGGAAATGTTGATTTTATAAAAAACATTTTATTTACCGATGAATCTACATTTCCTTTGCATGGTCGGCATAATCCCAGCGTTGCTCGATATTGGAGTCGTGACAATGAACACAAAGTTTATGCGGCTCGTACACAATATCCCCAAAAATTAAATGTTTGGGCTGGCTTAGTAGGTGACCATATTATCGGTCCTTTTTTCATAGAAGGAAATTTAAATGGTCATAAGTATTTAAACATTTTGCAAAATGACGTAATCCCATCGCTTCAACAATTAGACAATGTTCAATTTGGAAGTATCTGGTTCCAACAAGATGGTTGCCCGGCTCACAACAGCCGGCAAGTTAAAGAGTATCTTAACGCACAATTTCCAAATCGTGTAATATCTATTTGCGGAACGTTAACTTGGCCGCCTAGATCACCAGATTTAGCCCCCAATGATTTTTTTCTATGGGGATATTTAAAATCGAAAATTTATGGTTTTGATGAAGAAAGGACAACCAATCTGGATGACTTACAAACAAAAATTCGCAATTGTATACAGGATATTAGTCCCGATATACTAGCGAATGTAAGGCGAACTTTTTACGATAGATTGGGCTATTGTTTAGCACAGAATGGTGGTTTATTTGAACACCTAATATAAAAAATATTTTATTTTTATAGTTTTTTGTTTTATTTGTTGTTTTACAAAGTTTATTTCAGTTACTTACGAATTGTTTTTATTTTTAGAATTAAGAATTTGCTTTGTCTTATTTGAATTTCATTTATTATATTAGTTATTATTTTTATAATATTTCTTATCATTGAACGATGTCAAACGACTGACTGCTCTCCGATCCACTACTCTTGCGATTCCCCTCCCACAAACATACTCATCGCGCATATGCACACAAGTATACTTATACGTACGTCCGTGTTGGGTGTATCTCCTAAAATTAAAGTTACCAATCGGTATATCTTAAATTATAAATAACATTTCTACATATAAACGAATCACGAACACGTTAAAAATTTTTTTTATCGATGTTATAGTTCTGCACTTGAACCCTATGAAGAAACGACTGGTTGTATCTCGGAATGAACGAAGGTATTGAAATATTTGAAAGAGAAAGAACTTGTTTTGTTGAGCTGGTATTACGATGTTATGTTTTTTAAATTAATGTAAAGAGGTTTATGTTGCAATTGAATTTGTTCATTAAGTAATTTGTGTTTGTTTTTAACTTTATGTTTGTGAATTTCCAATGATTTCAATAAATCAAGCTTAAAGCCTTTTTCGCATTTATGAATGAGGTTCACATTTTCATAATTTATTTTATGTTTTGTTTCTGCTGCATGTTTATAAACGTTTGAGTTTTCTTTAGTTTTATGTTCTTGAATTCGCGTTTCAAGCTTTCTTCCTGTTTGTCCAACATAGATACATTCACAATCAGAACATGCAATAGAGTAGACCCCACTTTCCTTCAATTTATCCTTGTTTTTATTATTATGATAGTTAGAAAAAATGTGAAGTAAATTGTTGTTGTTGGAGAATGCTAATGAGATGTTATATTTTGAAAAGGTTGATTTTGATTTAAATGTGATACTGTTAAAAGTGATAGGTTTGTATATATTTTTCGTTTTTTCAGGTTTAACATATACAGGGTGTCTCAGCGAGACCGGTCATTAGACGTTTCTGGAGTTCTGGCCAAACAAAAAATTTGAGAATGCAGACTTAAGTATTATCAATTACGTTCTCTTCATCTAAAATATTTTCAGATTTCTAGCACTTCCGGTTATACCGGAAGTCGCCACCTACTTTATTTTTTTAAATGAAACACCCTGTATATTTTTACATATTTGGATTTGTCTGTTTTAAAAGTTTATAAATAACTTTACTTTTTGCAATTTGAACCAGCAATTCTCGAGTTATTCGAATTTTTCTAGTAAAATTTGTTCCAGCGGACATTTGTTCAAAAAATCATAGAACACTCAATTTTTGAGATATCAATTTAGGATTCAGAACATGCTTAAACAACATGATGGAGTATGTTTTGGTGCCGAGAACGGCTGTCTAGATCGTTTGGTCACTTTACTATGATACGTTAACTTTTCGAAATTTGGAAGCACCATAACTTAATTTTTTTAAATGGCACGCCCCATATGTTATTACTTAATCGTCTTCGGCGTCGCATTTTACATCTTTTATATTCCATATGTCCTATGCCTAACATTAATAGTTTGAGAAATAATTAGGGTTTTTTGAAAAATGCTCACATATCATATGGATATTAACCTAGTGTGCCATGGAAAACAAATGTTTAATGACTTATTGATAAACGTCAAAGTCTAATTTAGGTTGTTTGATGCTTGTGAGTCTAAAATCAGTTAAAATGGATATTAATAACGTAAATAATGTTTATACAAATGAAGAAATCCATAATTTACTTTTTGTGCACGAAAAGTGCGACAAAGTTCTTACTAGAACTTGCAGAATGTTTAATGAAAATTATCCACATTTATCTCCGATGACAAAATGTAAATTTAGAGGAATAGCAGCAAATTTTTTGCATTTTGGACGAATTAATCACTGACCAAAAAATGTAGTAGATAATGCAACGGAAGAGGTGAATACCTTGGCTTATTTCGAGCCCAGTCCCAACACCTCAATTTGAGCTACCAAAGAAGATCTGTGAATCATACTACGAACTTTGTCGCGAAAATTAAATTAAGAATTTCTTGATTTGTGTAAATATTACTTTCGTTATTGTTATCGATTTTAACTCGTTTCAGTACTAATATTAAAGGGCATAACAGATAATTATTAGCTCACAGGCATCAAGTGACGTAAACAGGTGAGTCTTTGACAAGAACTCATTGAGAAGGCTTGTTTTTCATGGCACATTAGACTAAATACCCATATGATATGTGTGCATTTTTCAAAAAACCCTAATTATCTCCCAAAGTATTATAGAAAAATTCGAATAACTCGAGAACGACCGAATCAAATTGCAAAAAGTACAGTTATTTATAAACCTTGAAAACAGACAAATCCAAATATGTCAAAATATACACGGTGTTCCATTTAAAAAAATAAAGTAGGTGGCGACTTCCGGTATAATCGGAAGTGCAAGAAATCTGAAATATTTTAGACGAAGAGATCGTAATTGATAATACTTAAGTCTGAATTCTCAAATTTTTATTTTCGCCAGAACCCCAGAAACGTCTAATGACCGGTCTCGCTGAGACACTCTGTATAGTGGATCTGTTTGAACATGTATTTTCCTGAAAAGATTATTTATGATTTTATTAGGGAAACCATTCTGAGCCGCTAGATCATGTATGTAGTTATATTCCTTGATTTTGTTATCTTCTGATAAAGGATATTTTAAGAGCCTGTTTATCAGAAATTGGCTAGTTTTTGGTGGAGAGGGTGGACAGAGTCATAAGGGATAGTTGTTGGTATCATTGATGGTTTTCTAAAAATGTCAAATTCTAATTTGCCATCTTCTATGCGCTTCACGGTTAGATCTAAGAAGTTTAATGTTTTATTTTCTTCTATTTCAATAGTGAAGTTTTGATGTAAGTTGTTTAAGTAATCTAAAAAATCATTTAACGTATCTCTACTTCCCTCCCAAACACAAAAAACGTCATCAACGTATCTTATCCAACGGTTAATGTAAATGTTATAAGGGTTTGAGCAGTTAATTATTTTGTTATTTTCGATGTGATCAAGGTACATGTCGGCAAGTATTCCTGAAAGAGGCATTCCCATAGGTAAACTGAGTGATGACATGTTTTAGAATGATGTTTAGATGTTTGATTGCGTCTGTGTTATTTTTAAAATTTGATGAAAAAAGCTTATTAGTTAGTTCCAGTGTGATATCTATTGGAATGTTTGAATATAAATTAGTTACGTCGAAGGAGACTATAATTTTGTTTCTAAAGTCTATATTTTTTATTTGTTCAATAAATTGATAGGAATTTGATACTGTATATTTTGGTTTGAAATTTGTTTCTTTAAATATGTTTAACATAAATTAAAATAAATTTTAAAATAAAGTTAAAATAAATTTTAAACAGCAAGTAAGAAGTTTCAATTTCCATTCTCAAAATTTCTATATGAAGTTCTTGTAATCTATTCTTTAAAGAGGCGATAGTAGGCACGATATTTTCCAAATACATATCGTAAATAACTGTTTTTATTTCCGTTGTGTAAGTATCCGGAATTCTTTGGAAAAGCTGAGAAGCTTTAGTGGGTCGAACGCATGCAGTTTCTCTATTTTCCAATTGCGCAATGAATCTACGTACCGTTGTTACAGGTACCCCTGTCAATTCACTGGTAACTTTACACGCAGCAGCACAACCCTTTTCTTGTAATTTAACGTAAACGTTAACAACTATTCTTTTTCTTACGATACCTCTCACGTGCTGTTTAACAAAATACTCATCGACAATTTCCCCTGTCCTCTTTTATAAGTAGTTTCCATAAGCTATTTTAAAGTGTTTCTTAGACAAAAATATTATTTTTAGGCATGTCTAAATAATAGAATAAAATTTTAAAGAATCTAATTATCCTCCGCCCTCTTTTGTAATTAGACAATGCATGCTTTCTCAAAACATTTCTTAGAAAAAATATGTACTTAATATTAGAAACACAACAAATAAAAGATTAATGAGTATTTGTATATCACCCTATTATTTTTCTACAATTTGCAAGTAAAGGCTGTTCCTTAATGCGGTCCTGAGTGAGGAATCCCAGCATTCTACAATGGGAAACTACCTGTTACAACCCCGTCTTTGTTCGTTTTACAACTACAGTAGGAAAGTGACAGAGTCATAAAAACCGACCGGGATGTGGAAGAGTATACCACATCATATTGACAATCAGAACAATTAACATAAAAGTTATGCAATTTTGTATGAAGACCGTTAACATTTTGATAACACACGTTGATACTACAGGACACATTGTTAGGCAAGATTAGTTTTCCGAAGCAATAACAATCGAGGGAATACTACGGACGTATTTTTGGACCAGACTCCCTTCCCCTGCATCAGTTCTCGATTACAGCTCCGTTTGAACCGTCCTATAAACTTTGTTGGAAAGGCGTACGATCATTAGATATAGAGATGTTTCTGTACATCTGAATGGGACTTCAAGTTACGCATATTACGAAACGCGATTTTAATAGAATTCCGATTGGATAACTTTACACGAATAGGTCTGCGTCTAGAATTATTAGAAGGATCAAACTTTTCGCCGTTTATGAAATAAAAACGATTTTTTCGGACACTCACTAGAAATGGCCTATATTTCCTTATTACAAATCGTAAAGAAAAGTACCTCATTTCTTTATAGCAACCAAATAAACAATTACTTATTTATTAGAATAAATATTAAACGTACAATTATTAATTAAGAATTTTATCCATGTTGCAAGTTGGGAATATATTAAATAATATACTAAAAAGATATACTAGAAAAAACTTCTTTAACTTGCTTTTATTTAAATATATATCGAGACTAGTTTCGAGGTTACACCCTCATCTTCAGTCGAAACTAGCAAAAACGAAAAACACATTAAAATATTAAAATAAAACAGTTTAAAAAACTTACAGTCAAAATTTTCAAAGCAATTTATACATGAAAAGCGAAAAACTCAAACGAAAAACATTATCTCGAAGAAAACTTCTTTAAAAGGTTAACACGTTTTAACACGGTTTAAATACATTGAAACAGGCCACAAGATAGACTATAATAATACAAAACTTCTACATAAATGTGAAAAAGGTAAGAAATAGGCTAGATCTGCTCGAAATTTTAGAAATTAACAAACACAAAAATAACAATAACTGCGAATTATTAAATGATCAGCTTCAATTATATAATAAACCTATTTTCATGTCTCTGAGAGATCATAAAACAATTACATAACAAGTTTATTTGCCCGGGTAGTTCAATGCAGGTTTAAAACCCGCTCAAGTCTTTTTCCCAGTTCCTTTCTTCACGTCTCACCGTCGACATCTTTTCGTTTTTGACAAAATTTTTAATATATTTTGATGTCGTACGTTAATTTTACATTTTGAATTATATTGTGAATGTTTTTGTTGTGTTTTTAAATTTTAACGTGTTCATACCTTTTAAAGAAGTTTTCTTCGTGATAATGATTTTCGTTTGAGTTTTTCGCTTTTCATGTATAAATTGCTTTGAAATTTTGACTGTAAGTTTTTTTAAACTGTTTTACTCTAATATTTTAATGTGTTTTTCGTTTTTGCTAGTTTCGACTGAAGATGAGGGTGTAACCTCGAAACTAGTCTCGATATACCGTATTTTCTCGAATCTTATCCGCACTCGAATCTAATCCGCACCCCGATTTTAAAAATGCAATGATGGTAAAAAAAGTTGGTTTTCCAATGTAATCCACATCCGATTGTAATCCGCATTTGATTTTAGAGCATACAAAATTTGTAAAAAGGGTGCGGATTAGATTCGAGAAAATACGGTATATTTAAATAAAAGCAAGTTAAAGAAGTTTTTTCTAGTACATATATCTTTTTAGTATATTATTTAATACAATTATTAAGATTAGAGAAGCTTATACTTGATGTACACTGTTGTTACTGTAAATCACCACATGTTAGTGACGATTTTGATAACACCTCCTGATGAATCACTACTTTATTTTGTTTGTTTGGTTGCTGTAGTAAGGGAAACGGCAGAAACGACAATTTGTTTCTCGAGCTTGTCGTGTACTTTTTAAATAATTTCTTATAAAATGTAGGTACTTCATTTAAATTGAGTGTCCGAAAAAACTTCATGTATTATTCTTAAAGAAAAGTAACTTCTTCTTTACTCATCGCGTTTCTAATCTCGGCTTCGCCTCGATTAGAAAATTCGCGATTCGTAAAGAAAAAAGTATACTTTCTTCACTTATAATACAAATAACTATTTAAATTTTTTTAATAATTAAAAAAAGGATATAATAATAAGTAATAAAAGCTAGTGAATTTTTTATTTTATTATGTTTGAAAGTAGATCATTAAATTGTATTACAATTATATCGTTTATAATTATTAGATTAGCACTAGAAAGCAATCTACAATAGTACATAAATATTAAAAACCAGCTATAAGCGAGTGATGAGATGAAAATATGTAATAAAACGGAAATCGGAAAAAAGTGAATCTTTTTTTTACATCAAAAACATCTAAGGATTCATTTTTTGGTGTTACTCGTTTTTTTTAATCTTATTTTGTTGGTATTGCTTTATTTTTAGGTAAATATGTATATTTGTAGTCGGGGGAGAACTCGTATTGCACTTGGTTTTTTTTCTTGGTTATAAATACAAAATAACTAATAAACTGAGAGTTAAAGAGTAGTAACAATTTAGAAATTACAATTATTATTACAAAAAAAATTAACATATTGTATATTTTAACTAATTGAAATAATTTTTTAAAAAAAAACCTATTTTTTTGACTCGAAGACGCAAATTACATAAGATAATTAAACGTATCACAGATGATCTTTATTTATTTTTTTTTTAATTCAACAAGTTAATATCAAAAGATTCGAAATAAAAATAGGTTTTTTTTAGATATTAACAAAAAATTTTTCTTTTAAAAGAAAAAGATAACCTCAAAAAATTTATTACGCTAGTTAAACTATTTTACTTTTTAAAATAATCCCCCTTTATCAATAACATTTAACCAACAAAAGTATTGCACTTTTTACGTTTTTTTTAACGCTTTTTTACGAGGAGTTTGATATGATTTATACTGACAGATTAAAACGTCACATTACCAACTTAATTTTTTTTTAAATTTTTAAAACAGTTTAACTTTGCGCTAAATAATTTTAACCAAAAAAAAAATAATATATTCAATGCAGTCTTAATAAACATATTTGTTTTTAATTATTATTAGGGCACTTTGTTATACGATGTGTGTATTTAAAGGGGTTTAATAAAAAATAAAGAATTCTTTTAACATTAAACACGAAATTAACTCGAAAAACGACGTTTCGCATGTTCATTTTATTTTAATAAAACATCTTTGAGGGATTTATATTTTGATGTAAGTTGGAACTAATTAAAACTAAAACTTGGATTGAAAAATATAAATAAATAAAATTCTAACCTGCAAAATTTGACGTGTAATAACAACAAGTGTCAAATTTCAAAATAACCCTCTTTGTATGAACATACTATATTTTTAAAGGCACACCTATATAAAAAGACAATGACGATTACCGATTTATTTTAGTTTAATTTTTTTTCATTTTTCTTTTTGTACAATAATTATTTTAAATTTTTTTCATCTAAAAGGATAAATTTACAATTATTTACGTTTTTTTTTGTTGAGGTGGTGAAGAGAAAGAGATACAGTGGCTCACAGCTTATTTGATACACTAGATAATTTAAAATCTAAAGAGGTGTGAATTCTAAACGTAATTGTTAACATTAGAACACTAACCATGCGTAAAATTTATGTATATAGAAAAGAAAAATGCCTAAACATGATCTTTGAAGGTCAATAGTCTCCTGCTACCTAACATACCATCAATGTACTGCATAAAATTCCAATACGACTGTTTCTTGAAGTGCAACGCTCCTCACATTTCCAGAAGTTTTTTTTAATAGTGGTGAGTAAATTTTATGTATCGTTAGTATTAAAGGAATAAAAAGTTGATAGAGAGAGCAATTTGCCTGCTGTGGTTAGAAACTATAATAACACCAAATGGGCTGTCGATACATTCGATCAAATGTGCCATCATATGAATTGTATTTGAAAGACATAGCTCCCATACATTCTTATGTGCCATTTTCTAGATCTGACTACACGTTCTCCTCTCATCAGCAGTCTCTGTCTGTGATTAACAGCTACGCAGACTAACAATACCCACTTATTTAAAGCAAACTATTGAGAAAAATGTTGTTATGGAAGCTCATAGCAACCAAGACACTAGAACAATGGGTAGTTATTTTTTTATAACCATTTTACGCATGGTTAATAATAAAGTATTATATTTTATTCATTAAATAAAAAACTTCATTTATTACTCAAAATTGGTTAATTTTATGTCACACCTTATTTGATATAGTTTATTCAACACTTAATTATTTGATACATAGTGAGCCTAAGTGGGAGGTGTGATGACGTTTGTTGCTATGTACACCGTGTTAATTAATTATCGTACCCGACGTCATCATTGCAAGTATGCAACCAATATCACAGTATGCGTATTGCAATACGCAATTTGCGTATTGGGTTGCATACTTGCAATGATGATGTCGGGTACGATAATTAATTAACACACTGTATACTAATTAAGTATTATTTTATCATTAAGTGCAGTACTGCTTCATTTTTAGAGTGATCTAATAACTATTTAAAAAATGGAATGAAAAAATGGCAACAGTTGAACAGCAAGAACTGGTTTTAAAACATTTCAAAAATGGGCAATCTATTAGAAAAATTGCCAACATGGTATTTTTAAGTACATCCACAGTGCTGCACATTATAGAAAGATTTCTGCACGAGAATTGTATAATAAATAAGGGGAGAATTGCGCCAAATAAGATTTTCAACGCAACTGACGAGCGATTGATTATTCGGAAAATTATGGCTAATCCAAAGTTATTCGCTCGAAAATGGACTGTCGAGATCCAAAAAGAGTTAGGAAAATCTTCCAGTGCTGAAACTGTTCGGAGAGTACTTCGCCAACATAACTTCCATGGGCGAGTAATACGTAAGAAGGCCCTTTATAAATAAAAAAATCAGGTAAGTCGGCTTTACTTTGGAAAAGAACATATTTCGAAGAACCTAGAGTTTTGGAATGAGGTAATTTTTATTGAATCAAATACGGAACTAAAAAAGGAGAATTTAAAAGCTATAGTTAACCATGGGGGTGGAAGCTGAACGTCTAGGCATACGATGCAATTTTAGCTTTTATCAGAACAATAATCCAAAACACAAATCAGGAATCGTGTAGTCGTAGCTTATTTGGAATTGCCCTCACTTAATGGCACCACCAGCATAGATATGAACCCCATTAAAAATCTATGGACAATGTTGGATCAAAATATACGAAAGTGCAAAATATTCAATAAAGAAGACTTGAAATATGGCAGAATATTACGCCACAAGTAACCAAAAAACTTCTCGAATCAATGCCAAATCGATTAAAGGCGGTGATAAATGCCAAAGGCAATCATACCAAATATGAAATTAACAAAAAAAACGAATAGCAGTTTATTAGTTGGATATCAGAATTCAACTGTATCAAATAAGTTGACATAAAGTTGAATAATACTTCTATTTTCTAGTTTGTATATTGTTAAAAACCAATTTGTTTAATAAATGAAGTTTTTTACGTTCAAATTTTGTCTAAAAAAAATCTCTTTTAAATTCACTTCTCTTTAGATTTTGAACTATGAAGTGAATCAAATAAGCCACTGTAAACATAGAAAGCGACTTTGTTTCCATAAAAAGACAAGGCCTACTAAGTACAAAAAACTATTTAATTTATTTTAGTAATTTTTGAATTATTTGCATCTAAGAAAATTTAGCTTAAACCCGAAATTTAAAAAATAGAAGAATCTTTTTGATCGACACACACACGTCTAAACCACGAAATAGAGATGTTTAGCGAAAAACGGGAGGCTTAAAATATAAACTAACGAACACGAACGCTTTGAAAATTAAAAAAAAAAAACTAACTAAAAACGACTCTGGAGGTAGAACGATTCTGATTATTTTTTTTGTTGATTTTCCATTTTGTATAAGCGAATAAAAAATTTCGCTCTCCTTTCATTATTTAAATAATAATTAAAAAAAAAACAATGAGTGTGTGGGGAAAACAAAAAATATATCAACAACACATGGCACTGGCGATTACTATTGTAATAATAAGAGGACGTTCCTAAAAAATCTAAATTACCTTTTTTATTCTTCATTTGCATGTAGAGTTAATTTTCTTTTTTTGCATTTTGAGATGTAACTAATCACTATTGTTGAGGTATTCTGAAGCGTTTCCACGACAAATTGGGCACGTTCTATTCGACTACAATAAAATTTAATTATCCATTTTCCTTTAAATAAACTTTTTAAATACTTACCCGAAGCCATTTATCAACACATTTAGCGTGAAATTCGTGCGAACAAGGCAACACACGCAGCAATTGTCTCGCCTCAAAATCGCACATACAAACCACGCAACTGGTTTGATCTCCTTGATGCGTATCCGCATTAAATTTATAACTAACCAACTGCTCGATTTCTAACTTAGCCAAACCGCGCGGTTTCGCCTCACCCAATCTCTCCGCCAAATTCAACAACGCTTCGTAATTTTCGGTTTCTGTGCTCTCCGAACTGCTTAAGTCGGTTTGATTGAACGGTGACATGGGCGGATTGGAGAACATCGCCAAGAAATGAAGGAGAAAACCGGGATATTGGGCGGGGGCTGGTACTAATCCGTTGTGCCAACGGGCGCGAGGTGGAGGTGGTAAACGTGCGCTTCTATGTTGAGTACGTCTGTGTAACAATTCTAATTGTTGATTACGAGCTTCAGTCGTTGAAAGGAAAAATGAGGACGGTGGTGGCACCTGGATTGGGGATACATGGAGGGATGGAGCACCGTGAAGAGCTGTGTGTGTGTGAGCGTGATGATCGGACAGAAGTTCTAAATCAATACTATCTGGACGCTAAAAAATAAAAATTAAGATTAGTTTTTAAAATGAAACTACAGTAAAACCTCGATATAACGGATTAATACGTTAAAAGTCTGTCAGTTTTGCTTCAGAAGAACAAATCAACGACGAATGTCGTTCAAGCACTGGGATTGATCAAGATTGTTTTGAAGTCAACAATTTACAATTTACAAGCCACATTTTACCATCTAACGAAGGAATTTGACTGCGCGTCTCATGATTTACTTATTAACAAACAAAGCACATTAATATAAGGCTTAATATATTCTAGTGGGCAATATTCTAGTCGTTTACTAGTTGTACATGGTGCCCCCTAGGACTTCTATTTTTAATTTTTGTCAATGACCTGCCCAAAATCATTCCGAGTGATTCTCTTTGCTGATAATACAGTAGTCATGGCTTGCGCGAGTGATGTCGATACATTGCATTATCGAATGATGGATTCACGCGCGATTATCACGAACTGATTTCAAAAAAATAGACTAAGCTTGAACGAAGCCAAAACGCAAACCTTAAATTTTCCCTTAGACTTCTAGAGACTTGCAAGGCTCCTGTTAAATATCTGGGAATCTACCTTGACTAGGGTATTACATGGGAATCACATGTTTCACATTTAATAAGAAAAACTTTCGATGTATTGATGGGCACATATTATGGTTATTTACGCCTTATTAGCTTGGAGTCATTCTGCCCATACTGATCGAGTTTTTGGAGCCCAGAGAAAATGCGTCAGAGTAATAGCAAACTTGGGATTCCAGGATTGCTGAAGAGCTAAATTTATTAAATTTCGAATGTTAACAATTCCTTGCCTTTATATCTTCCACTGCCTTCTTTACATTAAAAATAACGTCATCCAATATAAAACGGTTAGTTTTGGTCATAACTACAGTATGTCCCCGGATTTTATTATGAATTTTATTACTGATTTTTCAAACTTATTTCATCATAAATAATGCGTCGGATATATTCAAACCACTAAATCGCACGAATTTTATACTTTAACTATAGAAGTTAACTAATTATTCCCAGGTTTATGGAAAAATTGGAATTCTTTCTAAATTGAATTTTCAAGTTCAATTTATGATATGTAACCATAGAAACCATAAAAGTTACAACGTATGTTAGTGAAAAATATACGGACAAATCAAATTAAAATATGGCTAAATAATTGAATAAAATATTTTAAATGTAAATGTATGTAATAATAACTAATAACACACTATGTAAGTTTGTAAGTGAACAAAACAACTATTCGGCACACATTTGAAGACAAGTTCTAAATTCTTTGCGAGAATTACGAATTTCCGTCAGTGGTAGAGATTCTATGGCATTAATTATTCTTAGTTTTAATAGTTCTGCATCTCCTTGTAATGGTTCACTGTAAACAATTTGTTTCAATCGTCCCCAAAAATAAAAATCCATAATTGTAAGATCAGGACTATGTGCTGGTCATAAAATAGGACCATTCGGTCACAATGTGTGATGGTGAGCTAGGCAACCGTCTCGCTGAAAGTACATTGACCGTATAAAATTTAAGGGTAATTCATCAAGTTGTTCATTAAAATAATTTTGTAACATATCCAAATATTTCTGTTGATTTACATTTCCGTCGAAGAAATATGGCCCAATTACCCCGTGATATGTTATAGCACACCACACATTTACTTTCTTGAAATGTTGACTTCGTCTAGAGAGTGTAGAATTTGGATTTACATCAATCATCATTATGGTTACATATCATAAATTGACTTTGAAACATTTTTAGTTTAGAAAAAAGGTCAAATTTTTACATAAAAATGGGAATAATTAGTTAACTTCTATAGTTAGAGTATAAAATTCGTACAATTTAGTGGTTTGAACATATCCGACGCATTATTTACGTTGAGATAAGTTTGAAAATTCAGTGATATAAATATTTTTTGCTTCTTTGTAACTCGATCGGGGACATACTGTATAATACGAGGTCGGGCCCAAAATTAGCTTTAAACTATTATCAACGGCGAGGGCGAGGGACGGCGTTAATTACCTGGGCATAAATTTTATAATGTCTTGCCAGATCGTTTCGTTGTGTTAAGGACGAATCTATTTAAACGATAAACTAGGAAGTATTTGACAGAGAAAGCCTTCTACAGGGTGTCTCAGCGAGACCGGTCATTAAACGTTTCTGGGGTTCTGGCCGAAATAAAAATTTGAGAATTTAGATTTAAGTATTATCAATTGCGTTCTCTTCGACTAAAATATTTTCAGACATCAAACAGTTCCGGTTATACCGGAAGACGCCACCTACTTTATTTTTTTAAATGAACACCTGTACATTTTCACAAGTTTGGATTTGTCTGCTTTCAAGGCTTATGAATAACTTTACTTCTTGCAATTTGATTCAGCCGTTCTCGAGTTATTCGATTTTTTCTAGAAAAATCTGCTCCAGCAGACATTTGTTCAAAAAATCAGAGAACACTCGATTTTTGAGATATCAATTTAGGATTCAGAACATGCTTAAGCAACATGATGAAGTATGTTTTGGTGCCGAGAATGGCTGTCTAGATCGTTTGGTCACTGGAAATTTTCAACTTCTCTTTTTATAAAGGGCACCCCCCATATTTTATTACTTAGTCGTCTTCAGCGTCTCATTTTACATCTTTTATACTCCACATGTCCTATACCTAATATTAATAGTTTGGGAAATAATTAGGGTTTTTTGAAAAATGCTCACATATCATATCGATATTAACCTAGTTGAACAAATGTCTGCTGGAGCAGATTTTTCTAGAAAAATTCGAATAACTCGAGAACGGCAGAATTAAATTGCAAAAAGTAAAGTTATTTATAAACCTTGAAAACAGATAAATCCAAATATGTAAAAATATACCGTATGTATAATATGTATAACCGGAAGTGCTAGCCATCTGAAAATATTTAGTCAAAGAGAACGCAATTGATAATACTTAAGTCTGAATTCTCAAATTTTTATTTTGGCCAGAACCCCAGACACCCTGTATAGCGTGGAGGAATTTTTAAATAATAACTTTGTCGACCTGTAGAACGTGTGTCGCCCCTCCTATTTTGATTTTTGTTTCGTGATTTTGCTGTAGATTTTATATAATTATACATGTGTCTGACTTACGAAAATCATGTAAATGATATTATCGTCAATAAAGTATTATTATTATACAAGATATTCGGAAATTGGCGGATAATCTACACGTCGCGACATACTTCGTTCGATACCATGCTTCATACGTCTTCATGACGTTCTTAAAGGTCGGATAATTTGTCCGTAAATAATCATTAATATTCAATATCTGTTGATAAATAAGCTGCAATTTATTTTTTCATTATCATATCTTCATGAAAAACACATTTGGCAACATAATAGAACAACATTTTAACATTAAGATTTTCGTTCAGAGTCGGTCGTAGAATGTCGTTACATGTAGATTATCCGCCAATTTTTGAACACCTGTATAGTAAAACTAGAATCATTTGGGTTTAGCCATAGTATTTAGACGTATGGCTAAATCCGAATGTTTCTAATAGTGGCGGAACGGATATCCGGCAACTATCTGGTCTATTCGGCCATTTTTTAGAATCCGGCCGGATATCGGATAGTTACCTAATATCTGGCTTTGGCCGGATATTAAAAACCTATTACTTAGTACTCCACCATTCACAGGAATTAGTATCTCTTTTAGGTGTTTGACACTGCAGAATCAACTTCTCAATCACAATAGGACACTTTTCATTGAATACAATTTTATTTATCATTACCAACCTCATTGTAATAATCCCAATACGATATATAAAATCTCTTGTTGCAGTTTCGTCTAGTTTCCTTCTCTTCGTTTGTAATTCATCATAACATTCATTACTAACAGAACTGTTATCACTTTCGATTATAAATTAAAGTAAAAAACCCTTTTGAAAAATCACTTTCAGTTCTTGAGAAATAAATTTATTTCAAAAACCGACAAATTTTTTCGAATTTTGCAATTTTCGCCGATTAAGTTTTAAAAATTCGTATAAAATGGATTTCTTGGAATATGAGTATGAAAATTTCCCAAAATGTTAATAAAAGTGTGCTCTTTCCAATGAACCAACCCGTTTTGAAAAATAACTTTTAGTTTTTAAGAAAACAATTTTTGAAGTTTTGATAAAATTTTCGATGTTGTAATTTTCATCGATAATTTTCAAAATTCGCTATAAAATTAATTTCTTGAAGGATCCTTGTGGAAATATCACCAATTATTAATTAAAGTAGCCTCTTTTTAATGCAACAAGCCGTTTTGAAAAATCACTTTTGAGAAATAAATTTTTGAAATAATCGACAATTTTTTCGAATTTTGCAATTTTCGCCGATTAAGTTTTAATAATTCGTATAAAAGCGATTTCTTGGAATATGAGTATGAAAATTTCCCAAAATGTTAGTAAAAGTTATTCAGCGTTAGATAGTGGTATAGTATAACCAGAAACATTCGGGTTTAGTCGTGCGTTTCTTAAGACGGAACATTCAGAGTTATCATAAAGACGTTACCTTTTCCAAGCAACACTTTTCCTTTGCATAACTACCCAATGCCTGTACTATTAAACTATGTTGCATTTTAAGTGGGATAATGCAAGTGCATAGTAGTTATGTAATTATGGTTACTGCATTCATATATTGCAACTTAAATGAAATTCCCGGTATATTTAAATATACTGATATATCCGTTATATTGAGATTTTACTGTAATCTAAATTTCCGTTTTCAATTTGCATCTTTTCCCTGATACATTTTTTCACTACACTATCTATAAGATAGTAAATTACCTGTGGTGCTAAATTTTGATGCGGATGCGGATAATGTTGATTGGGCACCGAAAGAGCATTTGGCGGATTTGGAAAACCTCCATAACCTTGATGCGGTAAACAACCAGGAAATTGTTGAGCTGCCACAATTTGCGGCGGATACATATTGTGAACGTGGCACGTGTGCATATGGGGAGGAGCCCCTGGTGGTGCGCTACACAACGAAATGTGTGGCGTTATGTTCCAAATGCTGTCGTGGTGATGATTCATTGGTATTGTAACGGGTACCTAAAAGTTAAAAATAATTATCATAAATTTAACTTAAATCATTTAATATAACCTGATTTAAATCCATCATAACAGCTGTACTTTGGTGTGGATGCGGATGAGCAACAGGTGGTGGACTCGGTAAGAAAGTATGATGATGAGTATGCGTGAATTCACCCCGATCTCGATATCTAAGCCTACGTAACGGAGGCGGACTTCCTTGTAATCCCGGAGGTTGATGCGTTGCAGCTCCACCCAGCGGTTGATGTTGTCTTGGAGAACGTCTCGGTGGCGAAGACGGTTGAGCATTAAGCGCATCAATATGATGCCCGGATCGCGACAATCGCCTTCGTTTCCTCGACGGACTCTCACTTTTAATGCTTTCATCGGAAGTTTGACGGTGAAAAAATTGCGGCGAATGCTGTTGAAAATGCACGGGGCTTACACGCATATCTCTGCCGTGTCTTCTTTGAGTAAAATCAATCACATTACGGGGGTGAATCGATTCACCTTGAGGCGATCCTAATAGAGAGGTCGTGTTTTCGCAGATACTTATACGTAAGGGAGGCGATATGTGGCGACGATCGGATAAATTGTGACGACGGTCGTTGTGCTGTTGGTAACTTGGCCCCACACCTACGTTATGACGACGTTCTACCGGATTCGGAAGTTGTATGTGTCTTCTTTCTTGATGTTGATGAGTTAACCCTAAATTTTAAAATTTATTGTTATTAAAAAAAATTATTTATTATTAAAATTGTTGTTATTTTAAGCTAAAAGTAGGCCAACTCTGTCCCATTTAATTTTCTTTATTCCCAACTCATCATTTTTTATTACCAACTTATAAAATAACTAATTATTCAACACCCTCTTGTTTGCTTGTAAATCCATTATTACAGTTATTAACTTATTTAAAATAACCTAATCTTATAGTTTCGCTATTCTTATTTAGTGTATGTCTATTAAGACCTTTAGTTAATATATCTGTTAATTAGCACTGTGACCTGGACCGCATACACGACACTTTATTGTTATATTTTATGTGTTTACAATACAGGGTGTTTCAGGAGGAAAGGGAAATATTTCCAGGATGTATTCAGAAGGTTAAAATAATTCAAATAAACCCTTATGTTTAAGTCTGATTCTCAACTGTTATAGAAATAATTGATGTACCTAAATAAAAATTAATTTAACACATTTTATTTTTCAAGTAATGAACAATTAGCAAGGATTTAACAATTATTTTCAAAAATTCCACCGTCAACTTCGATACATGAGTCTGGCTCGTTTGAACTTTTCATCCACCCCCAAAGACAATAATCGATGGGGGTTAGATCAGGTAATTGGGCAGGCCAATTCTGTGGACCACTACGCATAAACCAACAATTTGGAAAGTGAGTATTTAGAAGTTTGTAATCATTCGATTAAAATGTGCAACATGATGGAGCCCCCCTCCATCATGTTGGAAGTAGAATCTTTGCCTAATATTCGAAGATACATCACCCAAACTTTCTGTTAAGTGAACTTCCAAAAACTCTAAATACCTTTCCTCAGTAGGACGCTGATCCAATACAAATGGACCGAATAATCGATCGTCTAAGATACCACACCATACGTTGACACTAAATCGATTCTGGAAGTTAATTATTATTGTTATTTCTATAACAGTTGAGAATCGGACTTAAACATAAGGGTTTATTTGAATTATTTTAACCTTCTGAATACGTCCTCGAAATATTTCCCTTTCCTCCTGAAACAGCCTGTATAGAGTATAAAATAATATACTGATAAATTAGTTGGACCGCGTTATACATCACTTGACTAAGCGACATTTTATCGTTTCTAGAGATTTTGATGCTGTTTGGTAAGTACAGGTGTAACTTATCTTAGAAAAAATGCAGAATACCGAAAGCCCTAAAATACCGTTTATTTTAAAGGTTAAAGCTCAATCACGTTAGACGATTTCAAGTTCGATTTGCATCGTACGACACTTAGATTCTACAATAGAAAAAAATAGATGAACCTACAATTTTGGGCCAGTGTCGTTTTCTAGATGTTAGTGTGAAAACAATACGTGATCGCTTTTAAACGTGTCGTAATTTTTTATTGTTTTTTATTAAACACAAGAACAGTATAAAATCGTAACTAACTAATAACCACCTTTTTTATATTGACTGCTTGATCATACCTAATTTACACACTCTGTCAGTTCCATCTTCAAATCCTCTCGCTTGATTTACATAGATTTCTGAAAAAATCTTACTATTTAAGAAAGCAGTCTCTACATCCATTTGTTCTATAATCAGTTTTTCATGGCAGCAATATGATAATAATATTTTTAAAGTTTGCATTTTAGCTACTGGTGAATAAATGTCATCTACAATTTCAGATTGTTGAAAACCCTTTACAACTCATCTGGCTTTATAAATGTTATTTGCCTTTTTTGTAAAAACCCATTTAACATCTAAACTTTTTTTATTCTCTGGTTTTTTGACCAATTTCCATGTTTTATTTTTCTTTAAACTTTCCATTTCCTTATTCATAGCTACTTTCCACTGTTTTGTCTGATTACTATTTATTGTCTCCTGAAAATTATTGGGATTTTCTATATTGCAAACGTTACAATAAACGTAACTATCATCATATCTTGCTGGTATTTTCCTTTCTCTCTTCTTTCTTCTCAATTCTTGAGGCGTTCTTTGTTGTTGTTTTTTTGTTTTATTTTCGAATTTAATTTCTGTACTCTCATCTTGTATTTCAGAATCAGTTTCAATCTCATCACTAGAAGAATTGGTTTCAATTTCATTGTCAATTCTGTTTGTATCTAAACTTATGCATTTAACATTCTTCTCCACAACATCAACATGTCTAGCCTCCACAACGTATCATGTTTAGACTCATTTTAAAGGATTTTTCACGATGATTACAAACATGTCAAAATTGACGTTGACATTCTTAACCGGAAGTTGACCATATCTTCATTGATATTGAAGGTAATTATGTCGTGTTTGTACTCATTTTAAATGATTTTTAATGAAGATTACAAATATGTCAAAATTGAGGTTGACATTTTAAATCTGAAGTTAATTATCATATAATAGAAGTTTTATAACTGAAGTTAATCTAGTGTTAGTCACTTTTCCGCACTTTCTTTTTATTTTTAACGTGTTTTTTGGGACATTTCACATTGATTAAAAAAAATCGTCGATTTTTAAGCCACATGGCTATTCTTGAATTTTTCCCAAGTTTCTTAATATTTCTTTTGTTCAAAAAGAGCGTTCTTAAATTTTAACCTGTAAACTTGTAACACTACGTCTAGCTGCAATGATTCTGTTATTTACTAAAACTTTATACCCAACTTCAGTATAACCCAGCAAAATTCCCAAATCAGCCCATTTAGACCTTCTTAACTGTTCTGGTTTTCGAACAAAAATTCTACTTCCATATAGAGGTCAATATTTAATAGTAAGCTCTCTTTCAAACGTTATTTCGTAAGGCGTTTTTTTTCTATAGTATTTGCTAATGTTCTATTCTTAAGACATCTCTAGCCAAAATTTTCGATCTATTTTTGCTTCTTCTAATAAACATCTAGACATGTCCATAATTGATCTATTATATCTTTCTGCTGTACCATTTCATTCATGTACATAAGGTGGACAGGTATTTATAGTGATACCTTTTTCTCTAGTTAGATGTTTAATATTCGAATTTAAATATTCTTTTCCATTATTGCATCTTAGTTTTTTTATAGTTTTACCAGTCAGATTTTCTATTTCATTTATGTATTCTACAAAGCAATTATCAACCTGATCTTTTAATTTAATAGTATACACCTTAGCCATCTTACTATAATCATCAATAAATGTAAAAAAATATTTTTCACCATTAAATCCCGTGGTGGTATGAGGCCCATTCAAATCAGTGTGAACTATTTCTAAAATTTCTTTAGCTTTACTGCTGTTATTGTCAAAAGGTAAATTATGCATCTTATTTTCAATACAAGTTTTGCATTTCATATACTCGGTTTCTAAATGTTCAGGTATGCCATCTAATAATTAGCTTTTACACAAAGTTGTTAAATCAGAAAAAGGATGCCATTTTTCTTTTAATGTCATATTAATTTTAGTATTACTATTTGCAATATTTACTTCCTTATTTGTAATTATACTTGTCATTTGATATAATCTACCCTCTTTCCTAGCAATTGCAATCAATTGATTATGTTTGTTATAAATTTTTGAAGTGTTTATCTTTGATATAATTTTATTTTTATCTGTGATTCTAGCATAACTAATTAAATTTCTATTCATTTCTTTAACATAAAAAACATTTGGCATTCTAATTGGAATTATTTTATCAAAAACTTGAAAATAACTAATTACATGACCTTTAGTGGCTTTCAAAAAATTACCATCACCAATTTTTACATTTACAGGTTCTTTTAATGTTATACAGTGAAATTCCCCTAACTCAAACTTCCATATCTCGAATTATCCTCTAAGTCGAATAATTTTCGTAAGCTCAAGCGTTTGACGAGGTTTCAAATGTGTTTTTATCTCTCTAAGTCGAATTTCCCTAACTTGAATTTCTCTGTAACTCGAACTGAACTACTTGTCCACTTTAAGCCAAAAGAAAATTATGGATTACTTTAAAAAACTTGATTAATTTTCTACTTATAATAGTATTAAGGTTTCTGTTTTAAATATACATATTAGAAAAGTACAGTTCTAATTGTTTTCTTTAGAGCTGAAACTCTACTAATTTTTCTCTAACTCGAAGTTTTCTTCCGCTCCCTTAGTGATTCGAGTTAGGGGAATTTCACTGTACTATCATGAAAATATTGATCATTATTTTTTATTACATGATCAGTACAGCCACTGTCTAATAACCAATGAATTTCTATTTATCACCTAAATCTGATCTTTCGTCTTTACATATCATCATAGTTTGGACCTGCGTATAAAAACTGTTCATTCCATAACTTTGTTGTTCGTCTCTACCACGTTGTCTGCTTGTATTATAATAATTATGGGAATAATTATTACCTCTTCATTGGCTGAAATATCCTTGGTTGTACTGCTGCTGCTGCATTCCACCTCGTTTCCATGAACCTCTGCCTTCGCCAACATGACTTCCTGAAATGGCATGGTTTCCCACATTTATAACACACTTCTTGATTCTGTTTCTTTGTAAAAAAGGCATTTGACTTTTGGTCACAATTTGTGGATTCTTCTTCATCTTTCAATTTGAACAAGTTTATTTTTCTTTTTATATACTCTACAGTCTGATCCTCTTCTTTTAAAACATCAACCAAATCTCCAATATAACTCAATGAATCTGGTAGTGTTTGCAACAAGGAATTTAATTTTTCTTTTTCCGTTACTTTTGCACCCGCAGGTTTTAATGAATTTACTGATTTTTCAAATTCACTAAAAAATGTTGGAATATCTTTAAAATTGTTTATTCTCAGTTTTTCCAATTTATTTCTGTTCTCGGTCTAGTGCTAGTTCTAGTAGCAGTGGTAGGTAGCGCTAGTTAGCATAAAATATTACATTGTTGTATATTTTTATTGAACTAGAACGAGAACTAGAAACATTCGGGTTTAGTCGTGAAAAAAACTTTCAGTTGTCAATGTCAACTTTAATTTTATTATTATATTCCTAATCTTCATAAAATAACTTTTAAAGTGAGTCCAAACTTGACGCATTTATCTCAAAAAACCAAAAAGTTCGAACTTTCAGTTTTTAATTTTGACATATTTGTCAACTTCATAAAAAATCCTTTAAAATGAGTCCAAACTCGACATATTTAACTTTAATATTAACGGAAATACAATCACTTCCGGTTTGAAACGTCAACGTCAATTTTGACATATTTGTCATCTTCATTAAAAAACCTTTAAAATGAGTCCAAAGATGACGCACTTATCTCAAAAAACAAAAAAGTTAGAATAAAAAACATTAAACCCGAAGTTAGCAACAATGAAGATAGCAATTTAATTTTTAAATATTAATACCAACCTTAATTTTTTATTTTTTTTTTTTATATTTTTGTTTTTGTGACAAATATTAAGACATTTTATAAAAATTAAGAATATGTCAAAATGACATTGACATTTCAAACCGGAAGTTGCTTATATCTCGAGTAATATTGGAATTAAACGTATCATGTTTGGACTCATTTTAAAGGATTTTTCACGACGATTACAAATATGTCAAAATTGACGTTGACATTCTTAACCGGAAGTTGACCATAACTTCATTAATATTGAAGATAAATATGTCGTGTTTGTACTCATTTTAAAGGATTTTTAATGAAGATTACAAATATGTCAAAATTGAGGTTGACATTTTAAACCTGAAGTTAGTTATCATATAATAGAAGTTTTATAACTGAAGTTAATCTAGTGTTAGTCACTTTTCCGCACTTTCTTTTTATTTTTAACGTGTTTTTTGGGTCATTTCACATTGATTAAAAAAAATCGTCGATTTTTAAGCCACATGATGATTCTTGAATTTTTCCCAAGTTTCTTAATATTTCTTTTGTTAAAAAAGAGCGTTCTTAAATTTTAACCTGTAAACTTGTAACACTTCGTCCTTAATTTCATTTTACAACTTTTTAAACTTTAATTTTGTAAATTAGTAACTAATAATCTGATTTCGACTTTGATATGTGATCTTTTTTAACAAAACAAAAAGAAATATTAAGAAACTTGTTTGTAAAATGGATAAGATGAAAGATGTTAATCTATTTGTAGAGTCTCTGATGATGGCCAAGGGCCGAAACTGGTTAGACTTAAATTCTATATAAAATAAAACCAGTTTAAAAGTACAAAATCAAACTCTAGATTATTTTCTTCTGTGCTTGTGATAGCTGTCATCAGTGTTCTGTGATAATAATGGACAGGCACCAAACAATTTTCAATAGTTTGAGCCTGTCTATTCCCGTTTTTCTCAACATTATTCATTTGTTGCTTAGTCAAGTGATGCATAACGCGGTCCAACTTATGTTTAACATATTAGTGGCTCTTCTTCCTTTTGTACCTTAAATTCATATCCATTTTCCCTTGCAGATATCTCAATACCCTTTTCAAATGTATCCAAACCTCTTCATTGTTTGTGTTGGTAGCGTCAGAAGTAATTTATAGCAAAACTAATATCCGGTATATTAATTTAGCATCTATAGGTGTACTGCATGATCTACAATTTTGAAAATTGAACTCGTTTAGTGTTCCATTTAAATATCTTCCTTGGTTTATTTCTAATATGCCTGCTTTACTATCATATTCTAATTCTAATCCTAAAAAGTGTTTTAAATCTCCTTTATCTTTCATATATTTTATTATATTTATGCGCTGTAAATTTGGTCCTGATAAAATAATATCATCAATGTAAAGTAACAAACTAACAATATTTTGATCACATTCTTTATCTTTAACATATAAACAGTCATCATTTGTAGATCTAACAAAACCTATATCTAACAGATAACTGTTTATCTTGTCATTCCAACACCTTGATGCTTGTTTAAGTCTGTATAGAGATTTATTTAGTTTTAGCACACATCCTGGCTTACATTTTACCCTCTTTGGCGCATAAATATAAACATCTTCCTTCAAGTCACCATTCAAGTTTCCGTTTTGTTATCAAAATTTAACTTGACAATGGCGGTATTAAGATGTGATAACGGTAGAGAGTATTTAGAAGTTTACTGGATAAGGCAAGAACGAAATGAAATGGGACAGAGTTGGTTTACTTTCAACTTGAAATTACAACAAAAATAATTAAAAAGAAAATAAGATTTTTGTTACCTGATGCTTCATTATTATAATGCATGTGATTTGAACGGAGGACGGGGCTCAACTGTGCTGGTTTTGGGTAACCATGAACATAATTAGCATCCTTCGGGCTGTTGTTATTCGCCACGGAACACTCTCTGTTATATAATAAAAAAATTAGTTGTTTAAATTTAATTTTTATTAACAAATGTAATAAAAAGAAAATTTGAAACTTGATTGTCACAGATAAAAATAGTTAATCTTAAAGTATTAAATTCTAAGCGTAATTCTTTCTATTGTTCATTTGAAAATTGAAACATTCCTAGTTTTATCTAATAGTTGTTTTCAATTACAAAAAAATGCGCTTATTGATTTCTTTCCTGGAAAATTTTATTTTAATGACAGCTGTGTTATACATAACCTCAAAATAAAAATAAATTCAAATTTTTAATTATTAAAATATCGTTTTAAACATAAATGGGAATTTGGAAAGCAAAAAGAAATTCACAAGTTAATAATTTACAAAGTAGTATAAAAGAAAGTTAAAAAGTAAAAAAAAATTTTGAGGTTATATCTCGAAAATGAATCGACTCCAAAAAATGCTTCATTTTTTTGTAATAAATTCAAGTACTCAAACAATTTTTTTAATTTTTTCTTATCATACTCACTCAAGTAAAAAAAAATAAATTAATTATTTATAAAAAGTAAGGTTATGTTAATAAGTGGAAAAAAAATGTTAAGTTATGTAACTATATTACAAACCCTCTGTTGCAATTTCCGTCATAATCCCTTGAATAGTCTTTTTGATACCTATTGTTCCATTTCTGATGTGGAAGGTTGTGGCTGGGCCTTCCATTCCTGCTAAAATTGGAAGAGTTTCTACGAGGTTGTCCATGATTGTTGGGATTCATCCTCGAATAGACTACAGCAAAAACAAAAAAAAAACTAAAAAACCCTAAAGCAAAAACATAATTTTTTAACCAACCTTGTGACATGCACACGAACGTTTCCCGTTAAAACTTAACTATGTAGACAATGAAAAGACGATAAACGGGCGTGATTAACGCACCGAGAACGACGAAATCGTTTATGAATAAGAAAGGATGTGGGTTCGTCGTCGTAGTTAAGTTTGCTGTGTTGCCTTTCTGTATATATAGTACACTATCGATCCAGTAGGTGTGCTCGCGATCGTGCATCAAAATTATCGTTCCAAAAAAACCCTTTTTCTCACTTCCAAAAATTAAATTTTAGTTTCTTAAACGTTACGCGAAAACAAAGATCACTTTTCCACGCACAACTTTTCCTTTTTGTGTTGTGAAACTTCTTCTCTTCACCTCGACTTTTGTGTGTGTGTGCGGCCCACACAGCACGGATTTCGCCGAGGCAGCGCTGGCAACCAACACAACAAACACAAAGGTCCCAAGATGGGTGTCGACGGGGGTGATGGGACGCAAAGGAAGAGGAAATGGCGTTGGAGACGGTGGTGGGGAAACGATTTCATCGATTTTCTCACAAATTAAGAAAACTTATTGAAAGGTGAAAAACGATTAATTATTTCTTTTTAGCGTTAATTGCGAAATTAAGTTTTAAATTCACGAAGAAAATTCGTTACAAAATTTACTGGCTAATAAGCGCCATCTTGTTTATTTATTTTTATTTAGAGTTAAAAAAATCAAATTATTTATTGAAGAATTTTTTAAATGACATCGTAATTAATTTATTAAATTAAAAATTTTAAAAAAAATCAGTTTTAGAATTTAGAATAACAATATTTTTCATCTTAAAATTAAATTAAATCGTTCTAATTAGATATATCAAAGATAGATGGCGCTATAACTTTAAATGTCAAAAAATATCTTTATTTTTGAAATAATTAAGTATACAGTGCATTTCACTTAAGATACAATATACAAAACTATATTTCCGTAGAAACCTACTTACTTTGTACCACATAAAATGCAATATAATTTGACATTACTGTAAAACCTCGATATAACGGATCAATACGAGGAACGCAGTGTCCGTTATAGCTCAATAAGAATATACAACAAATTAGCGCTGAATAACCAGTGTTGTTAAATACCCGGGTATTTATTTTCCAAGGAAAATTTCCCGGGGGTATTTACCCAAGATGGGTATTTAGAGGTATTTATAAAATTTAATTTAAATTGAGTTGATGGCAGTTTTGCAAGCACTTCAAGAATGCAGAGTCGATTATTGATATACCAAACTTATTTATAACATCTACAAGAATACTACAATGATGGTAAAATTGCATGAAAGTACTGAAGAGAGTAGAAGTAGTAAAGCACTGATTGTGAGTAAAACAAGGCGATACACTGTTGAACCCAAATTGTTCAGTCACAGTCCTCAGAGTGCATTTAAACAACTGGATTTGACCCAAAAAGGCATAAAAATTAATTGCAAATGCTTAAGTAATTTGCGCTACGCGGCCGATATAAGATAAGTCGGGCTAAATATCAACGAGGAGAAATTAAAATTTATGATAAATCTTGTCCTCAGCTCTAACATCAACATTGGGGATAATGAGATTGAGAGGGTTGACAGCTATGTATATCTTGGCTATGAGGTTCGTGTATCGAGAGATAATCAAACAAGCGAACTAAACAGAAAGATCACACTCGTATGCGCATCCTACGGAAAACTTAGAGACATATTCAAGAGAAAAGACCAAGAAAGGCTTTCAATCAATACGTGTTTCCGGCTATGACACAAGGCTCCGAAACTTTAACATTAACGGTGGCCACTGCCAGGAGGGTCCAAGTAACGCAAAGATAGATTTCGATCCTAGGTCGATCCAGGGTCTAACTTTGAGGAACTACATACGAAATGAAGACCGATGAAGAAGAACTGGCGTAAATGATGTGGTCAACATTGTGGCAAAGCTTAAGTGGAACTGGGCGGGTCATGTCGCGCGAATGAAGAATGAGCAGTGGACAAAACGATTACTTGAGTGGAGACCGCGAGCGAACAGACGAAGTAAACGTCAAAAAAATGAGCAACAATTGGATTCAGACAGCACAGAATAGAATCGCCAAGTCTATGTCCAACAATGGACGCAGAGGGCTGCTTGATGTGCTTGATGATAATAATCATAATAACTTGATCTAATCTAAATTACAAAAGATTTGTCTAATGATAATACGTCTTTGATTGTTGACAATTCCTCGTTTTGTCCTCATCATCTTACTCTTCATTTTTTTTTGGAATCTGATATATTTTTACTGGTATCACTTTTATACCCACTGTTTGGGTATTTACCCTGGGCCGGGGTAAATACCCGGATAAATACCAATTTTAGAAATACCTACCCGCCAGTGATGGGCTGCCCAGCGCCCATCACTGTGAATAACAAATAAAACTAAACTAACACTAAACCTAGAACTAGAAACATTCCATTTAGCCATACCTCTCTTATTTTCTTTTTATTTTTTTTGCTTAAAAGTGTTCTTTATACTGTCTAGAATGAGAATCCATTGACAGAAAACATTTGCGGAATGTTTTTCTGCCTCAAAAATTGATTTTTGTAACACACCTCACCGGAAATTCTAAGATTTCTGTAACCACTTTTTGTTTCATTTTTTATCCATTGTATATGCAGGTATTTTGACCTTGTTGTACAAAAAAGTAAAAAAAAACATAAAATATCATTTTTCAAAAACGCTATTGAAGTGGGCTTTCGGGTACCTGAATAAACAACAGCATCACAAAAACTCATTTTTGTAGAAAACTTTACCCGACTTCTATCGAACAAAGGGGTAATTCCAAATATAAAGTCAAAAATTTGTAAAAAGTGTAGTTACTGGAAAGGTAAAGATACTGCGGAATTTCAAGATTGGGTCGAAGATCATAAAGAAATATGTGATATAAACCATGTCGGATCTTCAGGAAAAATGGAAGTGGACTCCGTCGTAGAGATGTTTCAACGATCCGAAGAAAAACATAATTTGAAGTACTGTTTTTACGTAGGAGACGGAGACAGCAAAACCTTCAAAGGTATTATGGACGCTCAGCCCTATGACAGTGTAATAGTAACCAAAAAAGAATGCGTCGATCACGTTCAGAAA